TTTCAATTGGATATAACTATAAGCTGTCATTGTGTTTGGGTGTTTCCGACACTTCATTGGGTTGCTGCGTTAAGACTACATGTTGCCGGTTCTAACTACAAAACACCAAATTTGTGACATTCACCTTTTTTACCCTGTACCCTTCAATTATTGTATGACAACTTTGATTTTCTATGGGATAGTGTGAGTGTTACCGCAAATACGTGGGTGGATCATTATGCTTCGCCCCTGACTCCTTAGCATGTGCTTATTTGATGAATGTTACTAACAATAAAACAAGTGATCTTATTAGCCTGTGTTAACAAAATATCAAGTACATTTGTCAAATTGTTTGTTATGTGCTTTTTGGTTCGTATGTGATAACGAATTTATTAGAAATTGATCCTGTTAAGCAACTACCCGAAGTAAAATATGTTTACAATAAGGGTATGGCGCCCACAGAAATTCAGGGCCGGCGACAGGGGTGACAAATGGGGCAATTGCCCAAGGTCCCGGGCCCTCCAGAGGCCTGGCTGGGGCAAAAATGAATTACATTTTGTTTTATCACTTAAATTAAACAAAAAAAGGTGACAAAATTATTTGTTTATCGTAGCTATAAGACACTAATTTTTTTTATACTCCGGCTACCACGAAGGCCTAAGGCCTAAACACCCATGGGGTACCGAGGGGCTTTAGGGGGATACAGGGGAAAAGGGGGGGACGCCACACAGACTCTAGCGAGCGAACACGTGCGCATGCAGCATGCACAAATTCTGGCCCTGCCTACGAGATCCGCCGGGTGGTACCCGTACGACACTCAGAGACCGTCTACCAATTTGAAATTAGTGACTGACTAATGTACGTTAGTCGAATCTGTTCTCGAAAGTCCAGAAATCAGGCAATGTCAAGGAAAAGAGAAAGGGAAAGAGAAAAAAAGGAGAAGCGCAAAGAAAAACAAGTGTATCAGTTTAAGAGGAAAGAACTAGGCTTTCGACTTGGTACTCATATTAATTTTGAGATGAACTAAAAACAAATTTATTTAGATGTTAGAGTGGCCTTGAATATTTACGAATTTGCTCCACTGTGTACTTCACTGAGTCACGCAACAGAGGGTTGCTGTGTGAGTACGCTTGACTTGTTTCTTCGTTATTGACCACATTTTTCTAGCACCGGTCTTAAAATCCAATATCTTTACAAAGGTGACATCACAGTAACAAAGCGAGGGTATTTCGCATGCAACGCTGACGTCGAAATGAGATGACCAATTTGCTGAAGCATTCGACCTGTTCGTGCGACAAATCTTGGCTACGAGACTTGAGAAACACATCCCTTGAGTCTCTTTTTCCTTGGTATCCCTAGAGAAGGAAGTCACAGATGCTCAAATCTGGTGAGATGCGTGCCACTCCACATCGTCTTTCACGTCCTGAAAACATTTCTCTCAACGCATTCATTGAATGTTATTCTGTCTGAGCTGTAGCTCCATCTTGTTGAATCTGCAAGTCATTAATCCCTCTTTCTCGACGAGCTCTCCTATTTGAGCTTAGGAGACTTGTAGCTTCAACAGGATGGCGGTACAGTTCACACCACTCAACGTTCAACGATGTTTTGAACAGTGGCGTAGCTCGCAATTTGTAGAGGGGGCCCATCCAACTGTATCGAATTCCAAATGGAGGCTAAAATTTGAAGAATAGATTTGTACAAAAAAAAGATAAGCACTTGCATTGAATAATATGAATTGTCTCATGTATTGACCATTGGCGCCCGCAGGAAGTTTTCTCATTTAGAGGGGTCGATCATCGGTAAGAGATAACTTTCTGTTAAGGTGTGCCTAGGCTCAAGCCCTTTTGAAGATTGAGGGGTAGCACAGTAATGTGAATGCGAAAATTTTACAAATTCAGATAATACTACTTCGCTTTTCAAAATAGCTTAAATAGCAGCGGTGTTATGAGTTAAATTTAAAATTTTCCCAAAATTTGTTTCTGTTTGCTTTACAACCTTCTGAACATTTTTAGATAGATATATATTTATTGACACACAGTTTAGTAAATAATACGTGTCAAAGAAGGAAAAAATGATTGATATATAAGTCATATTGAAAATTACAATTAGAAAAAGTAAAACTTACACATGATAATGATAATTTAAAATTTGTAAGATAAAAACTCTTGTACGGTATAAAAGTAGCTGTGGCAGATAAATTTCTTTATTTAGTGCTAAAACTCTTTATAATTTGTAATAGGGGGAGAGTAAAACCATTAGGGTTGCTCTTCATAAATGTTACACAATTTAATGTGTAAATTAATTGAAGTGTTAGATCTTTATACGTTTTCCTGCATGACTTATTATAGTTTGAACCAAAATTGAGCCTACTGATTTCCTTTTGAGCTAAAAATAGCTTTTAATATCAATAATATACCACAAGTATTAAATGACAAATGTCTAAAAACAAATGTATAGTATAGGCTTAAAAGGCCATCCTGGCTGAGGAGGAGTTTCATTTTGCAAATAGCAAAATACGCCTTGTTCAGTTTTTGATACCTGGTAAACTTGAGATCAGACTCTAAAAAAAGTACCTTATAGCTTTACACTGGATTGGAAATATACCCCACATTAAAAATATGATTAAAAAGTAATTAATAATATATATAATTTTAATAAAAAATGTATAAATTTTGGTTTGTCCTTATTTAATATTAGACGATTTTTTTACCCCAAGACTCCATCTCAGACATAATGCTGTCTATTTTCCCTTTAATTTCTTCTGGAGATTTCTACACACTTTTACAGATGAACATCACACTTTCCCTGCTTTTAATTGTTTGGGGAGAATATAAGAATAAACATTAATATCCCTATCACTGATCCCTGTGGGATGCCCAAACATACAGGAAATATTCAGATTCTGTATTTTGTATTTTTACCTTTAGATATCGATTTTCAAAGTAGGACTTGAACAAGTTTAGTAGTAACACTATTATGACCAGCTGATGATGTTTGCTCAAGATTATTGCGATGTTAAGGCTGTCAAATGATATGGCTAAATCAAATATTATAATAACTACATTCTGTTTATTGTTTAAATGTTCGCAGACAAAATTAAAAAGTTGATAAGAGGCTGACCCAACAGATTTATTTTTCCTGAAACCATGTTGTGTATAAGTTAGCAAATGATGTTGCTCCACAAGGGCAATCTAACATCTTTGTGAAGAGGTTGCAATTTGAATCGAAAGCTTGTTTACATCATTGCTGATTGCTTCAGGTTAGGACATATTCAAAAACATGGAAAATTTTAAAATAGGCTTATCTGAACGTTCGGGAAGCACCGAGTTAGTCTACTTGCAACTATCTTTTTCCGTTTTTTTTTATTAAACCATCCATCACAGAGCTCAAACATTTTGTTTCTTTATCAATACTTATCTTGACTCATGAAACATTTGAAAATATAGGAGGACGATTTTAGTGTTTTGAAGTTTTCAGCCTCTGAAAACTGTACTATGCTTGATAGAAAAGTTGCCTCGTAGATGTCCGATCACTTATAATTTCGAAATGCTTCTTTCAGCTGTTAGAGTTGTAATCTAGAGGGTTAAAAATAGGAAGCATGCTACTATCATTTATTCGTACAATCTAAGGTTTAGAATCTTTATTTTAATTTTTTAAAAACTTGCACGAGATTGTGAAAAATATGGGGGCCCTGCAAGTTGAGGCCTCCGTATCATTGATACGTCTGGTACGGCGGTAGCTACGCCCCTGATTTTGAAGGAAATGTTTCCAGGGCGTCTCGTCTCGTTGCAAGGTGATAAGGGATAATTACCAGATTTGGGCGTCGGTAACTTCATTCTTTGTCAATATTTCGAGGAAAAGGCTCTTAGGCATCCTCATATCACCCTTCTAGAGCGAATTGAACGCTATAGCCCGCTATATGTGTAAATGAGTCGTATCCAACAGTGTGATGCTGCTAACGGCCGCTATTCTGAAGACAATATTGACGCCTAAATTCAAAACACGTTTTCATAGATTCATATGTGTTTTCATAAATCTCTCAAGCTGTCTCACCCTGAATGGCACAAGCTTTGTCGTCGTGGTAACTAAATTATGAAAAAAAAATGGCGCCAGGTAGGTTGACCCTGTGCTGCCCGCGCAACGGGCGTATCCGTATATAAAAAGAATATGTTAAGCACAAACAAGATCCTCTAAAAAAAATTCAGTCAAACAAATCCATTCAACTAGTTCATAGAGACGTGGCACCGTGGTACCGCGATCAGAGCATAGAAAACACTATGCTGTTGCGTGGCAGACATACGTGTGATTCCATAACAGAACAGTCAGCACGGTCGGCGCACTACGCCTGCAGCAGCCGCGGCCGATAGATACGCAATTTGTCTACGGAGAATATTTTTCTGCTTTCAGGCCTAATGTGCAGAGAAATCTATGATGTGTGAAATATGTCTGATAAGTGCGTAGAGTTACCGATGTTGGGAGCGTATAAATGTACCAGCATCAAAAAATTGAGATAAACCCTTCCCACCCCGTCACAACCACAACCCCATTTTTTACCTGTAAATTTTACTCAAAAATGATAAGGATCCTCTGAAACGGGCAATTTTAATTTTTTTCGTTTTAGGACTTTTTCTCTGCTGCCACTGGACCGATTTTAAAAAACGCTTTTGTGTCCTTGGCCTAGCAGTAACCTTGTGTAAAAATTTCATCGAAATCCGAGCTGTACTTCTCAAGTTATAAGATTAGCAGACAGATAAACAGACCGACGGAAATCAGTAATCCAGTTTTTTGTGATGTACATGTCATATAATATCCAATAAACATAATATCTCATTTTCGAACATTTTTCCGACAACAATACATACTTCCCCGCCAGTAGCAGGGGAAGTAAAAATAAGTGTCTCATCGAATAATGATTCACGTTTCAAAATAAGAATTTAACTCTTCACCAGACTATCTAGCCCACCAAAAAAAGACAAAGCTTCGTCGTGTTTTCTTGTTGTCCGGACATGATTTGGGCCATTGTAAGTCGGTGGTCACGATTTTCGCGTTAAGCGGATCTTATATATAGAGACAAAACCTTAACAATAAATCAAAATCAAAACCGGAATGAAGTCGGGCACTGTTGTGATTTTGTGCTTTCTTTTGGTGATTGAGAGGTGCGGGGGTGATATTAGTGAAAGGGGGTATGTTTACCCGCAGCCTGTTCCACCAGTACAGTTTGATGAGCCTACTGAGTAAGTTTAGAATATTTTAAACATACCTATCAGTCACTCACCTTCCCATTTTGGAAATACTGGGTGGTTCCTAATCAAATGTCAATATCTAAGGGGACGAGTTTTGCGTACATTTTTTAAGAATATGTACCTATACGAACGTTAGTAGTATATCTCCTAACACAGGGTGGTAAAGTTTTCAAAAATAGATCATTCATTATTAATATCTGTGAATACCACTTTAGATATTTATGAAAAATTTGAGTTTTTCAAACGACCGTATCCACTTGCGGAAATAACCGTATTTTTTCAAACTGTTTCAATTTTTTTCCTGACTTTATTTGTAGTGCGATTTTAAAATAAATTGCACATTCACATTGCCACTCTTTCTGTTCTACAAGACGGAATAAATAGAATTTCAATGTGACATTTCCTGTCTTATCATCCAGCATCAACTTTATCTTTTCTTAAGGACGCCATACTGGATTTTTTTTCCACTGATTCCAAAAATATATAATATGCTACATTGACATTGCAAACCTTATTTATTTGAAAAATGAGAATTTCCTAGATATTCCTTGAAATTATTAGACAGTCAATTTTTATTTTTCCTTGACTTTATTTGAGATAGACTTTCAAAATAAATTGCAGATATTGACAGTTATTCTCATCTACAAACAGGCGTAGTCATTTGACTGAACGCTATACGTATATAGTTTTGTACATTTACATTGCCACTTTTTCTCTTCTACAAGATGGATTAGAATTTCAATGTGACATTTCGTGTCTTGTCATCCAACATCAAGTTTATCTTTTCTTAAGGACGCCATACTGGATTTTTCCACTGATCCCAAAAATGTATAATATGCTACATTGACATTGCCAAACCTTATTTAAAAATCAGAATTTCCTAGATAGGCCTTGAAATTATCAGATAGTCAATTTTTATTTTTCCCTGACTTTATTTAAGATAGAATTTTAAAATAAATTGCAAATATTGACAGTTTTTCTCATCTACAAAAAGGCGTAGTCAAATTTTCAATTCGAGGTATCTTCTTTCGATTTAAATCACCAACTTTGTTTTTTCATATGAACGCTATATAGTTTTGTACATTTAAATAGAGTTTTCAGGCCTAAATTCAGTAAAGTATTATTTTAGTTGGCCATGAATTCGTCGAAAATTATAAGGAAATAAAAAGGTATAGTCAATTTGTGCACATGCAGCATATGACAGTTTTGAGGACCTCAAATTGCACATAGTAACAGAGTTTGGAAGACCAAGAGGAAAGGAAATAAATCGAGCAGGCAGTGAGCGATGTATAGGGAAGAGACAATTTATTTTGAAATCCTATCTCAAATAAAGACAGGGAAAAATAAAAATGATTTGGCGTTACATCTGGTATATGAAACGAATGACTGTTAATCTCAAGGCATACTCAAGAAAGGTTTGAAAATGTCAATGGATAAAATATTATACATTTTTGGAAACAGAATTAAAAACTCTATCCGCTTGTGCAACAATCCAATATGGCATCCTTAAGAAAAAATAAAGTTGATGCTGGAGAACAACTCTACAAATAAGGTCAGGAAAAATTTAAACGATTTTGGGAAAATTCGGTTGTTTCCGTCTCTCTCCAGAAGTATTTTGAATTTCGAAACTTTCTAAGCTGCATTTCATTATATACTTAAACACGCAGTTTTGCTTCCATTTAAGCGACTTCGTACCTCTTGCCGTTTCCGAGATCTCAATGGTGGACCATGGCGTTTTGTTTCTGTTCCACATATAACTCTAATCGACCTAACCGGCATTTAATTCCAGCGTCTATCTCCCTCCAGTGATCCAAGACTTCCCGCCACCCTTAGACGATACCCCCCAATTCATCAACCCCCCAGACAACAGCTACCTTCCCCCAGTTCTTTACCCGCCACTAGACAACCCCCCTCTCCAAGACGAACTTCCTCCTTCCCCACCATCTTTATACCAAGCACCTCCTCCCACTATGAAAATCCTAAACATGTCCTGCACCTTGGACACCTCCTTCAAGACCTTGGTCAAGATCGATTCTAAGACCGGTGTCCAACCGGTGATGGATGGGAAAGATGGGTGTATCACCAGGACATCTTCGCCTGCGGTGTATGCGATAGAGATAGAGGATGTGAGGTAACTGTCTAGAGTGTTTTTTAAGGAATTGAAGCTTTGAAATAGAGAAGAATTTAAGACTCAAAACTTGACATCAGATTTATGTTTTGAGAACTGGTCAACTTTCTATGGTGTGGAAGATATTAACCGGGCACATGACTGCTTCTTCAAAATAGACCAATGACAAAAAATAATCATGGGTAAATAGTGTTATTTGAAAATCTAGTTCAAAGTTGAGAAAACTACTTTCGTAAGAGTTTGTTCTGATGGTAAGCGAACCTACCATGAACCCTTGGATATTTTCAATCAAATTTCACATAATACCAAAATAGATTCAAATGACAAAAATAACAATCAAGGAAAAAAATGTTTGTTTCCTTTTACAGACGAAAAATTTTTAATTTAATTTGTAGTAAATTAAAAAAAACAACTTCTCATCAGGTTCAGATGAAATTCCTAACTTTTTGCGAAAAAAGTCATATTCCACATACTGCAACCTCTCGTGTACCTTATAAGCTTGTATTTTTGTACCGGTGTGTTCGCATATCTCAACTAAAAACTGGTAAGATAACTCCCATACACAAAATAAGGGGATATTTTTCAAGTAAATAATTACAAAGCAGTGACTGTACCAAGCTGTTTTTCTAAAATATTCGAATATTGTTTCCTATATAGCTTGATGTTATATTTGTAGAGTAGCAATATATGGCCCAAAAACAGCATGGTTTTCACTATGGAAAATCGACAACTACAGTATTGTATTCTTTCTTCGATGAACTAATCAATATTGAGACAGGAGAGTGTCCTGTTGGTATCCTCTGTGACATAAGCAATGGATTTGACTGTGTTGACCACGATTCCACACCTCAAGGTTCGTTAGCACCGTCTAACTCAACTTTAAATAACGAAGTTTTTGGGGCTTTGCTTGGATAATTGTGTTAACTTCCGAACGCTTTGTGAACATGTAAGCAGCAAGCTAAATTAACTGTCATTTATGTTTGAAAACATCAGATCAGTTCTTAATGAAAACCAGTTATTGATGTTGTATTATTCACAAATTTAGCCTCGTATGTGCTCGTTATGCCTTAGGGGTTCTTCAGCCAATACTCAAAAAGTTTTTTTGAGCCAAAAAAGGGTCATTCGATCATGGGATTTGACAGTACACATAGCTATAATATATATTCAAAAAATAAAAATTCTTACATTACCTTGACTATTTCTTTACAAAATGGCAATCTAAAATTTTGTCAGCAAAGAAATATTTAATCTAAATAACGACATTCATGATATAAATAGTGGACAGCAACTCGATGTACTTGTCCATTTTATGAAATACAACGTTGGCTACAGGTTTCCTAAAATCCTGGGCCCAAAAATCTTTGAAAAATTACCCGACGATATTGAAAGAATAAAAAACTTGAATGTCTTTGAGGTGAAGTTGAAAGCTCTGTATTCTATCAATGATTTTATATGTTTATGAAAGCTTTTTTTAATGACTAACGAATCCTATACGTAATTTTAATGTTAAATCGAAAATAAATGAAATGAAAATGGAATGTAACAAGGAATTGCTTAAAATACAGTCCGAGTTTTAAGTGAGGGCTTGATCGATCACTCCGTTATGGTATCTGTGAAATTGAAGTTGATAACAGTATGCGCCTTACCAAATAATTAATTTCCCTTCCTGTAGGGTGATTTATAACTACGTGGTAATAAAACATACTTTTTGCTAATGGCAAGACCAACGTTTTATTACAAGTTTGAATAGGCTATTTCAAAGAAAGCAACTTGATACAACACACTACAGGCTTTCAATCTCAAATTGTTGAGATATTGTCGAAAAAAAACACTCAACTTTGACAATACGCACCTCCACAACCGTTATAGCTAGGGTATTGAATTTTTAACCAGAAAAATTTATGACCCTGCTTTTTCTTCATATCCGCTTGCTTTTTCAGTTTCCTCAATAGTTTGTGCAGGGTGGTCACGCAAAATGAACGATTTTTCAAAACAGTTTAAGTGGAACACCCTGTATATTTTGACATTTGATTATTTTTTTACCGATCTTTTTACTTCCTATGCCAAAACTGGCGAGGAAGATTTTCTACTGTTGGATGTTATATAAAATCGCCACGAAAAACTCTCACTCACTTCCGCCCATCTGCCTGTCGGTCTGTCCGCTAATTTTACCGCCTATAAGTTGCGAAGTACCGCTCGGATTTTGATGAAATTTCCACACAAGGTGAATATTATGCAAAGGATGAAAGATCTTTGTAGGTTTTGAAAATCGGTCTAGTGGTGGTGGAGCTACTGGCAATTACACGAAAAGAATAAAAAACGCTTTTACTTATTTTTTGACGTTTTAGTGGGTCCTGATCATTTTCGAAAAAAATGTTTGGGGGTTGAAATTTAAGGTTTGGGAAGGATATATGATATTTTTTTGATCTTGGTATATTTATACGCTCCTAACTCCGGGAATTCTACGCACCTGTTAGCCATATTTCACACATCATAGATTTACCTGTATGTTTGCCTTCAAAACATGGAATGATGGAAACGTGTTTTCAATCCGCGTTCTCCTGCCTATTTAAGCGCACGCCCTGGCGAACCAGTCCGGCTAATACAGGTGTTCATTTGAAAACTTTCCAGCGCGGATTTATCGAAAACCACTGATTGAAATAAAAAACGTCGAGATACGTTAAAAGGTCACGAGGGACAAACTTTTAACAAAAAACTTCATTCCCTTTCACCCTTTAAATCATAATACTTCATTACACAAAATTGTTTGTCCGACTGGTATTTGATTATTCTCTGTACACAGATCATTCCATTCAAAATGAAAATATTGCAAGAGTTAACCGAAGATGATTTCGACAGGCGAGTTGAGTTTTGTGAACAAATGTAGCGATTAATGATAATACCATTCATGTAAAGAATATCTGTTTCAGTGATATATACACATTTTATCTGAATGGATTTGTTAATAAGCATAACTGCAGGTATTGGAGCAATGAAAATCTTCAAGCTTTTCTAGAAGGGCATACCCAGACCCACAAAAAATTAATGTATGGCAGGCATTTTAGGAAACAAAGTGATTGGGCCATTGTTTATTAATGGAAATTTGAATGGAGACATTTATTTGGATATGTTGGAAAATACCATCAATCTGCTTATCCTGAAAGCATTGAAAACCAAATCGAAGAGGAAGGAAATCGTATACTTGATGAGGTTGAAATATATTTCCAGCAAGACGGCGCTCTTCCTCACTATGTTCTTATGGTTCGGCAATGGCTAGCCGACGAGTTTCCAGATAAATGGATAGGGCGAAGAGGGTCTATAGAATGGCCTGCTAGATCTCCTGATTTGGCGCCATTGGATTTTTTACTGTGGGGCCATTTGAAATCTATTGTGTTAACTCCCCAACCTGAAAGTTTGGATGAACTTCGTCAACGCATCATCGAAAACTGCCATGATAACAGGCAACATTTTGAACACTTATTGAAACGAAAAGTGATATTTGTGTGTTTTTATTTATATCTGAAATTAAGGTAAATAAAGGTTTTTCTAAATTTCTTGAAAATGAATCGACCGATTTTAAAGAACAAACGTCAAAATAAAGGACTTAGAAATGCCTTTCAAACAAGCTATTACTCGATACCCCTTGACATTTAAAATTTTTAAGGAGATGGCCCAGGGGGCAGAGGGTGAAAGGGGTGGAGTAGTTTTCGGTTAAAAAGTTGTCCCCCTTGACAAATCTTCTGACGTGTCTCGGCGTTTTTTCTTTTAATCAGTGGTTTTCGATAAATCCGTGGTGGGAAGTTTTCAAATGAAAATCGTGTATATGTATCCGTACTGAAGCGCAAACAACGTTGTCACAAGCTCGGTAACTACCAGTAGGGCATGGAAAGGATGTCGATAGACTAATTATGTGGGCCTGTTTGAATAACTTAATACGTTTAATTCCTCTGTTGATTTAAATTGCGCTGAACTTAATCATTTATGAACTGATAACGTCGTAGCGTAGGAAGTGCCGAGTCAACCCACTTGACGCCATTTCTTTATACAAGGTTAGTGTTCACTTACTTTTCGTAAGTCAGATATCAAGGTAAATGAAAAGTATTGTAATACTTTTTAAAACAAAAAATAGCATTTAGTTGGTAGCGGTAAATCGTCAAAATTAGTGTATTTTCATTATAAATTAAATCTACCCCCAACCTTATGGAATAAATTCGAGAAAATACAAGGAGTTTATGAGTTTTTCAGTAACCCAAAAATCTCTCGTACAAACCCCTATAACTGATACATCAGAAAAAAGCTTGTGAAAAGGGGAAACAGAGAATGTGAAAATATATAAGGTGTTCTATTTCAATATTTTGAGAAATCATTTTGCGTTTTTGAGCATCTTGTAAAAATCATCCAAAAGCCCGAAAATGAACAGGGTAGAGATAAAATATGGGATCGTATTTTTTTCTGAAAGATTCAGTACTTCAGTTATAATAGTTGCGGAGGTCGATAGATTGTCCAACATCTCAACAATTTGAAAATAAAGGGCCTCTCAAAATCTGTAGAACAATATAGGACTCTGTTTGAAACAAGTATGTTTGGGTCACCATGTAGTTACGAGTCACCCTGTAGGAATAAATGCTTTCCAAGTCAAGGGCATGCCGCTGTATGCAGTTTTTGTAACTTTTTTGGATACCATGCGACATAACGGAGATATTGACCGAGCTCACACTATAAACCACATTCGTAGTCCATGCTATGCTACGTGTGCACCGAATATATAATTTCTATCCTGTCGAATCAATTATTGTCTATCTTTTGAAGATGGATAAATATAGAATCAGTTTTGATATTTTCCTTGGTTATACCATATATTCATCAACATTACCGTAATACCTATTGCCCAAAATGTTAATTTAAAGAACAAAAATATACTCAGTGCTATTAGAAGTGTTACATCCAGAAAAAATTTCAACTTGATTTTTTGGCAATGAGATAGTCTTACATCAAGAATGGAACGATAACGTTCTAACGAAGTTTTGTTGACAAGTAATAAGAAAAAAAATTAATGTGCTGAGCGACCCCACAGCTCAATACACTCCTGTATACGTCTAGGCATCGACAAAATGAGATGATCGATATCTGGTTGTGGCACCTCATTCCAAGCAACTCGAACTCAGTGGATTAGCTGTGGCAGAGTCTGTGACGGATGGCGGATAATGCAAAGTGGATAGTCTCCTCCCCATCATATTCCACACATGTTCGATGGGATGTAAATCCGGTGAACTGGGTGGCCATGGCAAAACATTAACGCCTGCTTCTTGAATAAAGTCCGTAGTACGACGAGCAATCTGGGGACGTGCGTTGTCTTGCTGAAAAAGGACGTGTGGACGGCCGTCTAGACATGGCAGTCCAAAGGCTCGAATGCGGCGATCTACCTTCTTCTCCAAACCATTGGTTTTTTTTATATCGAAGCAGCCGCGCAGGCAGAAGCCTAAATGCCGGAACACCGCGGCTGCTATGATGATCCCAAAGAAATTTTGTTAATACGATTTTTGAACTGCCTAAGGTTAATAGAACTGGTAAAAGCTTCTTTTTGTAGATTGACCACAATCTCGACACCCTCGGGACAAAGGAGCGGTCGTATCGGCCAGTTCTGGATGTACGAAGTTCGACACGGTTAGGATGGGACGCCAAAGTCAGACGGGTATGTCTAGCAGGCACAGCGCGCGGCGGCATCATGGAAGAGAGCTCTGAGGAGCAAAGCCCGTTGGTGTAACGGTAGAAAAGAGCCAGATCGCCGACAGCCCACCGGTGCGAAAGAGTTCCGAGACTGTCTGTTAGAGAATAGTCATCGATCAGTCGGACCGCCCTCCTCTGGACAGCATCGAGCATGGATAATGTAGTCGGGGCGGCTGCACCCCAAACGTGTGAGCAATACTCGAGGCCAGGCCTTATCTGGGCCTATATAGAGTGAGAAGGTCATGCGGAGAAAAGTACTTCTTAGCCCTAAACAAATAGTGTAGCTTTTTCCCAGCGGCTGCAGCTATTGACGAGTTGTGTTCGTGCCAGACCAGGTCCTCGGTGATCTAGACTCCGGCCAGCCGAAATGAATGGCTCTTTGGCAGAACTCGGCCATCCATCGAAACCGGGTGAGCGCAGGGTTCGTCAAAGTACAGTACTGTGGTTTGGAAGCATTGAACTGTACAAGGATTGTTGCGTCCCCAAGCAGTGATAGCCTTCAGATCTCTTGTCAGAGAGGAAGTCATCGCTAGTCTTCTTTTCTCCAACTCAGCGGCAGAGATCGGCTTGTCACTCCGAATTCCTGCATGTAAAGTGCTGTCATCAGCGAAGCTGTGGATTGGGTTGATCGTGCAGGAAAGGAGGTCGTTGATATGTAAGAGAAACAGTGTCGGAGCCAAGACTGGGGAACACCCGCGCTGACGTTGTGAGATGAAGAGGAGAACCCATCAATTACGACAGATATCTTGCGGCCAGCGATAAAGTCAGCCACCCATCTGCAAAGCTTTTCTCGGAGGCCATAGGATGGAAGTTTGCTTAAGAATGCAACGTGCCACAGCTGATCGAACGCTTTCGTGATGTCAACAGCAACGACATGAGCCTCACCATAAGACTGGATGAGCTTACTCCACAATTGAGTGACGTAAGCTAGGAGGTCCCCTGTTTATCGTTCCTGCCGGAAACCATACTGCCTGTCGCTAATCAAGCTGTGACGTTCGAGGTAATCCAGAAGCTCGCGATGTATGCACCTCTCCATCACCTTACTTAAAACAGAAAGCAGAGCTATAGGCCTGTAGTTGTAAGGGTCGGTCTTAGATCCCTTTTTGAGATGGGTTGGACATGAGCAAATTTCCAGTTTTCTGGGAAGGTGCCGGATTCATAAGATATCTGGAAGAGACGCCAAAGAACTGGAGCAAGCTCCGCTGCACACCTCTTCAGTACAATGGCAGGAATCAAGTCCGGACCAGAAACTTTGTTGATGTCGAACGACAAGAGCACTCATCTTACGGTCTTATGCCTGAATGTTACCTCCCGCATAGGGTAGGGAATTGACGGCACTTGGGCGTTGGAGGGGACGTCCATGGTAGAGTTGGCAGCAAAGATCTTGGCTAGCACTTCCGCCTTTGAGTTGAATATGAGAAGTTCTTTTCAATCTGCTTGGCCAGCGTCCAGAAAGATCGACTACCATTGCGCTGCGACATTACCCTGTGCCTAATTTTTATATCGTGCTGGTTTTTGGCATTGCGCACCGCTTCTTTATACTTGTTTCTGGACTCAACGTCGGCTTGTCTGTTCTCTACAGTAAGGTTTTGTAAGAAGGTTCTGTGTGCCTTGATCTTCTGCTGGCGAGCAGCGTCACACGATTTGTTAAAGCAGCCGTTGGACCCTGGTCTAGGCACTTTCACTGTGTGAGGGATGTATTCCTCCATTCCAAGGTGGATAATTTCGGTTATCGAAGAACAGACAGCCGACGCATCCGCGTCAGTGAAACAGACATCTCTCCAAGGAAAGCTAGAGAAGAAGTTTCTGAGCCCCTCCCAGTCGGCATGTCTATAATGCCAAGTTTTGCGCCCTGTACGACTTTCTGCTGCCACAGCGGGTTCTGACCGAAACCTAACCTCCACAACACCGTGGTCTGAGTTATCCAGGAGGGACAGGATGCGTGGTCAGAAAGAGATCCAGCAGGCTACTGGCGTGTGACGAGACGCGGGGGAAAAAAGTAGGGCTCGTCACCAGCTGAGTCAGCCCTTGAGTAAGAGCGAACGCTTCGACTGCACGACCTGCTGCATCGGTGTTGTTTGTGTCCAACCAAAGCTCATTATGAGCATTGAAATCACCGAGAAGAACTACCTCTGAAGCGGGGTGATTGATGTTCAGGAAGTCGATCTGGACGGCGAGGTATTCGAGTAGGTCATCCCAGTTATGATCCGAGGGAGAGCGATAAAGGCAGCAAATAAATTTGGGTGATGTTTTGGAGTTGAGACGAAGCGACAGAATGTCCTTCCGGTCTGATTCCAAAGAAGCATCTCTGGAGCAGGAAAGACTGCTACGGACAAAAGCCACAACTCCCCGGTTCTTTCTCAGATTGGAGTGCACCTCGTAGTTTGGGAAGTTAAGATGGTTAATCAATGCAGACTCTGAGATTTATGTCTCCGCCAAGAAAATCACGGCGGGACGATTGGATTGCAGGTAGTGATGAACAGAATCAATGTTGCTGTTAATCGCGCAGATGTTCGAAAAACAAATTTTATCGTCGATGTTGTTCCCTCGAGCCCACCCTCCACCCGGACATTCCGAGATTGGTCAGTGATTTAACGCGTAATATCAAAAGGGTCTCATAGGGCTAGTTGTCTAAATCGCCTATCTTGACGGTCTATGGAACGCCTCGGTGGACCAGTTGGCCTTCTTCGTGTTCCTCCACCGTCTTCTATCCACACACGACAAACACGCGTTACCGTCATTGCATTACAATCAACACATTACATTTCAACAACAATAACATTAATTTAGCAAAGAATGATGGCTACTGCCAATACAATCAATATTTTCCGCTTCCAATACAACTTTTTCCCTGGAATTAAGGGCCAAGTGAGGGCTTAGGAACGCTAACAAAATAACAATTACAGCCTTATAATGATTTATTTGTGTTATTTAATTGTAAACTTCCATATCTTATAAAAACATCCGATATGAATTTTAAATATACCGTATTTAGAAGGATGAATGAGTGTGGAGTAAGAAGATGTGTCCTTGGAGTTACCAATAAGGCCAATATGTGTGCAACATTAAGGCTACCAACCATTAAAGGAATTAGGTTACCCGAGGATGTTACCATGACGTTGCAGTGTGCCCCTAGGGATAGTATAGTGTCTCATACGAAGCATATACGACTAGGGCCAACGTAAGTATTTTGCATTATCTACAAAAGACCAACAGGTCATAAAGTCATGTCCAATTGATGAAAATTTGAGATATGTTCGAAAGTGAAACATATTTTTTTTATTACAAGGTTTCATTTAAATTGACGTTTTTGGTAGTACGTTAGTAAATATGGGATAAATCTTCGAACTGAATTTTAAACCAGTTAACAACCAATTGCGCTGCAATTTTATACACAGGTTTGGTTTGCGAGACAATACAAGATGAATTAACCCCCACCATGTTGAATCCAATATGGCGGATGATACAACATCGTGATTCATCATTTTCATACTAGATAAAAGGGCCTGATGAGAGAAACACAATGAGCATTGTGAGGTTATTCTATATCAAATATGGCGGCCGAGGCTGAATAACGATTTATAATTTCCATGGCGATCAAAATATCGATTAAACCATTAAATGATTTATATCTATCGAAATTTTATAATACAAATAAAGTAAGAAGTTTATTAATCACATGAAAATTACCAAACTGGTTATTTGAAATCATAAATACTAAAAATAAAAAAATAAATAAAATAAAAAATACGTTTTTAAAAACAATCGTTTATTTAGCTGATCATAAAACGAACCAAGAATTTAAAAATATTTTTCCTATTATAGATATTTGTTTAATTAAACGTATAATGAAACTCACTCATCTCAAGTTTTTGAATAAAAGCGTGTTAAGTTTTGGCAGGAGGATGGAAAAAATGTGTAACATATTTTATTTGAGAACTTGAGACAAAGGAACTTCATTAGGTATCGTATTTCCAATCGGAAAAAAACATTTTCAAATGTTTAGCTCATTTTAAGAAACGGCTAAATAAATGCTTGTTTCAAAAAGGTACTTTATATTTATTTTATTTTTCTTATTTTGACGCCATAGAATTATTATTACTGCCTTAGAATGAAAACAACTCTAAACGCGTACGAAAGCAATGTGGGTATAGCAGCAGAATTGACTATGGAGGGTGTCCTGAAAGTTGGGACTTTCCTTTTCAGAGTCAACTTCGTTTGCAATACCATAGTTAATTTGCGGCAAAACAACACCGAAAACGTAAAAAAGACCTTGAAAGAAAATACCCACGATTTATTTGTTAAGGACTTTCTTGTCACATGTTTTGTTTGTAAACACTGGTTGAAGTTGTCCCTGTTCGATTCAAGAACACGATTCTGTTTACTTCCTAAATTTGCGATATTTGTGACTGTCTAGGTTAGCTGTGTTCAACCAGACAGCTTTTCATGATATAAACAAACATATGCAGCTCAGACGGAAAGAAACATCGAGAATGACGACGACGTTCTGAGTACACTCGCTGCTTCGAGCCTTGTATTGCAAGTGCAGGAAGTCTCTGTATAGTCTGGCAGCGAGGCATCTGGTATAGTTAGTGTAGGTTCCGGGGCAAGCTGGGATAAAGGGCAATGATATGGCGGACGCTCTTGCGATAGCATGATCAAAGTAAAGAGTCAGGTTAAAAATGGAGAAAAGGATTGCTAGACAACATTATCAGAAATAGAGAAGCATCTCTAGACATCTCTGTCAGGCACGGGAGCTCACCGTAGGGTACGGTGTTACGGACGGATGCTTTTGCTTATCGTCGGATAGAGCCAACCACAGGTTGTTGGTGTGACTGTTGTATCTCCATAACATGATGAAGCGTCACCCCATCACATACAGATGGGGTGGCTGAGGATCCCATGTGTGAACGTCGCGGGGTAGAGGAAGAGTCCTCGGAGCATATTATGTATCGCTGTGATACTCTGAGCTTCTACAGGCAGACTACGCTCTGGTTCAACACTTTGGATCCCCACAATGTTAAGGAGCTGGAACTCAGGAATATACTCAACTTTGCTGGAAGGGCACAACTTGACGCTTGGTTTGTTTTATAAACTAGGTTAACCTGGACACCACGAGACACCTGGTTTGGATACTGACTCACATAATTTTAGTACATCATACGTTTTGACGTAGGAGGGGAGAGTGGCACTGGTTCATTAATGCTTTTTGGAACCTAATATCTTGGATGTCTTAAAGCTTCGGTATATATGTTACTAAAAAAACATGCATTACTGTCTGACCTATACGCTCTGTAAAGGAAAGTGCCAACTTTGAAGATGACCCACATTGCAACATTTCCTCATAATCGGTTGTAGGTACCTAGGTTTTTGAGTTTAATAGCTCCGAAAAGAGTAAATGAATGACATTAGTACGAATTTTAATAAATAATTTATCAATTCATATAAACAATGGCTAAAAAGGCTCATACAAATATTATAGTATGAATAATTTCAACTATCTATTTCATATTTTTAGGACTATTACCAAGGGTAGATCAACAAAAAGTAGTATAGTAGCAAGCGGTGGAGGCCAGTATAACTTTGACAGTCAAATTTTTCTTTTGAGAAAGTCCCCTGGCAGTAACAACTTCGATCAGCTCTTACAGACGGGCAGTGTGGTACAGTTAGGGGAAGAAATGTTGTTGAGGACTAAGATCCAGGACGGAGATGGTAAGTTATTTGGGATCAAAGAATACTTAATTTTCAGAAGGAACTCACGTCTCATTTGCGTCAGAATCCCAATTTGTCCTTAGCGCCTTGAGGATCTAAACATGTTGCTTTCGTCCGGCCGACCAAAGACAGCCAACCATCGACATCTAATCCGTGCTTTTTGGCAACTCATCAGCAAGGTCTTAGCTTAGTCTGTGAGACAACGACCGAAAGCATCGCAACTATAGATCTCATACCTTGGATAGAAGATATATGCTATGATTTGGTTCGTTGTCCCAGGGACCAAGACTCGTCCATGCTGATGATTTACCAGAAAGCACGCATCAAATGCGTACTGAGATCCTTACAGTTCCAAACTATAGCTGCTATAAACTCTCGCAGTGGTCGATTCTGATAATTGATGGCACTTTGCGCGCTCTTATTTCGATATACGTATCGAGAATGTCTCGTGAAATAGTGAACGAAACCTCGACATTCTACAGAAATCAGCCAAAGTCTCCATACTAAAATAAATTAATATTGATATTGAAACGGTGATCGTGGAAGATGACAAACCCAACCATCATATGAGACTAGATGGGTAATGAGGAATCTGATATGCGTGAGTATGCAAAGAAAATAGGTTAATTCTTGCATGGATGTATGCGATGTACAAATTAGCACTAAAGATTAGTGGGAAATCTCGTTAAAGATAGCCAGTTCAAGACAATGCTTATGAGACTCTGATTGATTAATTTTTAGTTACAACAGGTTTACTAAGTTTAAGTAGGAGTAAACTATAGTTTATTCCACGGTTTTTGGCGGCTCACACTAAAACTACCGCCAGTATCACTTTTATATATCCATCTCTTACACATATACATATTTATGCAATATGCATCAGTGCGCAAACGTTTGTTTGTAGCTCAGACATACGTTCCTTATATTCCTCTGGTCACCTCCAAATTGTTTTCGCCAACTGTCACTGTCATTCCGACAACTCACTTGTCATGGGCTTGCTATTATGATTATTCATAGATCTCCATTAATATAGCAGTAAGTCTTGAAAATATAACTAACGGTCAATACCTATAGTGTTTGCCAAAATTATTGGAGTATTTTGAGAAAGCGAATGAAAGAAATCATCCTTTATTACTCAATTTACGTGTGCAAGAGCACCTGCGTTCAAGATCGGTTTGTCCAGTGTGCAGCTCTCGTATGGAGCTTCAGGTCCGTACATGGTTCAATTAGTCGATTGGACGCCAAAAACCGTGATGAGGACTTTCCGAAAAGTCGTTACATAGTAGAATGGCCAATTTATATTACACTCTGCTACCAAAATAGAAGTGGGCAGCATAAAACAAGTGTATGTCCCTGATAACGGGGCGTGCCTTTGAATCGGCAAAGTCGGTGCTCGCATATCGCGCCGTATCCAAAGACACGCCGCGTTAGCAGTGGCGTACAATGTGTCAAGCTACTCTCTTTAATTTTAGTACTCGAATATAATTTCTGATATCACAGCTTAGATAACAATAAGATATGAAACCCTCATGTTAGTCCAGGCTAGATAAAAAAGGTTTTCATCGGTAAACTGGAGATTTTAGAGCATCAAACGACTTTTGAAAATTTTTTTAGAATTAAAATCGATAAGCAATTAAGCTAAATCCGGTTCTTTTTAGTAATATTAAATAAATACTTATTACTATTGTAAATGGCTAAAAGTTTGTGAGCATGAGGGCATCATTGGTGTTAATAAGTGTGCTGAATTTCAGGCGGATCGGTTTAATAGTTTATGTAAAAAGCTAATTGTTTATCCCAGAGACGAATTATTTAAACAAGTGGTCCAAGATATGGTCCTAGAGCATTTTACAAAAGTGAAATGGATTCTTGACGGTTTCAACTTCAAGAATTTATGCAAAACATTAACTATTTATTTCAAAATTGTTGTTAAAGATGGTGTTAAAGAAATCTCCATAAACATTTACAATAGCTTATTTTTCAATACATTTTTTTTAACAAGTTGATCAGAATAGGTGGCTAAAAAACGCATATTTAGCCATGCCCCGTATTTAGCTCAATTGTTCATTGATTTTAATTCTTAAAAATAGAAGTTGAAGGTCTTTTTATACTTATATAAAATTTCATTTGAAAATTATACAAGTAAAATACTGAATTTTGAGCTTCTCCCATGTTTTATAAAAAAATAACGCATATCTGGCTGTATCTTTTTATGTACTTGTCATTAGATATCTGCTAAACTTTTTTACCCATTTTTTTTCTCTGTAGCCTGGGCTATGTCAGTATCAAAAACGGCCACTATTTCGGAGGAGAAAATCGTATGTAAATTCCCCTAATACAACGATGAAAGAGGTTTTCGTGTTCAGCAGCAGCCGGTGTTGCCACGTATCATGCTAGCGGCCACAAATATTCTTTGCAATCGTTAAATGATAATGTCTCGATATTCTCTAGTGTTCTTTGTGCGAATCAATAATAAAAAGGGGTATGTTTATCCAAAAAGAAGCGACGGAGTATTGATGACTATGTACACTTTACACCCTGACCCTGTGTACATATTGTGACATCTGTCATTAAAAACTCAAAGCATAAAATTTCCATGCAAAAATTTGTACTGATGACCAGTTTAAAAGTGTGCAACTAATTCTGTTGTTCAACGTTTCTATTTCCGGTATTACATCAAAATAACAGAATTTTATTCAACGTGCACCCTTTGTAACATCTGGAACATGTGCAGCATACATTATTTGTCAACCAAGTAAACTCTGGTGGGCACCTGGTTAAGCAGAGTCGATTGTAAAACACCGAATTGTGGTCGTTGAACAAAAATATAGAGTCGCTCAATCTTATGGTTAGCATCCGCACAGGCCTTAGCGATATCGACAAAAACGGCGAATGGTGGCTTAGCCGCCCACTATTACTAACATATGTTTTGAAAATATTAGGGAGGTATGTATGCATAACTGCCATTCCATTTCGAAACTCTATGTATAAAATTATCAGTAGATGCGTGGATGCGTTCCCAGAAAATTGCAAATTGATAGGCTATAAACACATATTACTCTATCCTTGATAAAAGATAAATTAATGTGTGATTGAAATTCAGTCTTACCATATCAATTACGCTAACTGTTGTTCAATGTTAAAACAATGAGTTTGTCAAGTTTATCTATTATTGGAGTAAACTGCATCATCAATAACATTGTAAATATTTAGAACTAGCATCGATAAATTTTATTGTTTCTTATATCGTCTCATGCACAGGCATCTGCGCATCTGCCGGAAAAATATTCTGATTCAAGTTTTTTTCATAATGTTATTCAGAATATGTATGTTGCAAGTCCCAAATTTGCGTTCAAAGCCTTTTTAAACATTTTTCTTAAACAAATTCTAAAAGTTGATTTTTTCGATCTGTCTAATTTTTTTGGTCTTTTAAGACATTCTGGAAAAATGCTTTAGAACTTTTCTATAAAGTTGATCATAGCTTCCGAGATATGAGCGATACAATATTTGAAACAGTGCAAAATTTGCCATTTTCGACCGCGGAAAATAATATGAAAAGTGAAAATTTTAGTATTGTCGTACTTCTCAAATATTTAAACATTTATTAAGAAAATCTCAAAGCATTAGGTAGGTGGTAGTCCTTTTCTAACATATGTATTGCACGCTTGTCGCGCTTCTTTCTCATACACATTTCGACGTCAGTGGTATATGGATTTCCCTGTACACTGAGCGCGCCTTTGTTTAAAAATTAAAAATACAAAGCCTTACAATAACACTGTCTCCTGAAATGCTTTGGAATTTTGTTGATGGGTGTTTTAAGAATACTTTTGGAGCAAACAGCACGAGGTTGTACAGCTCATAAAACAGCAGTTATTCAAACAACGGTACCTGACACAGGGCTCACTATGTTTACAAGTAAAATGAAAAGTAAATATTTGACAAAACTTGAATTATAAATGAGGTAGGTAGTTCAAAATGATACACCATGTTATTACTTAGGTACTTATTCTGATACTGTACGCAAAATTAATCAGCACGTGTTTTTGAATACAAGATGTACCTCTTAAGAGAAGCCAAAAAATTGCATCAAGTAGGTTGACCTTTTTCCCACGTCACGCAGTCATCAGTTCAAAAAGGATTATGTCTAGCACAAGTAAGACACTCTGAGAAAAAAGTTAGTTATAAACATGTATAACAGAGAGATTAAACGGATTCAGTCAATCAAACAGGTCCATACAATTAGACCATAAACATTCTTTCCCTGCCCTACCGGTAGTCTGGTAAAAATTTGAATATATCCTCCCCAACCTCAAATATTTACCTCCTAAACGACAAAAAACGAAGTTTGTGCAATTATTGTTTTTTCGATTTTGGCCGAGGTCACTGAACCGATTTTCAAAAACTGAGTGGAAAAATGTCATCCAAATCCGAGCAGTACTTTTCAAATTTCAGGAAGATTAACGAACAGACAGACAGACCAACAGAAATGAGTCATATGGTTTTTATTATGTACATGTCATATAAGATCCAAAAACCATATCTCATTTTGGAAATTTTTCGCGATTACAATACTTTCTCGCCAGTGAAAAAACACTCCTTATGCATTAATCTAAAACGAATATATGACGCTGTCCACGAACATTCAGACATCTTGGAAAATATTGTTTATAATTTAATATTTCTTCTAGGGTGGAAATACAGCAGAATGGGTCCAGTCATAATAAGAAATGAGAAAAGCAAAAAACACGTCACCCTGGTAGAGGAGAACGGATGTCGCAGTCCAGGAATAAGAAGTATCTGTCCTTTTCATCCCAAACAACTGCACCCGCTGGACAACATTTTGTACTTCAGAGCCTTTCTGTTTGATGACTCTGTCAAAGGAGACGATATGGTGTTGTCTGTACGGATGACAGGATGTCTCCATGCCCAGGATTGTTTTAGGGTAAGACTCTCATTTGGGCTCGATTACAGCTTCTCCCATTATATACGTAGAGTAAGATACCAAGGCTGCCAAACATTATTTCTTTTCTGAAAGACAAAACGTGATTTCTATGCACTTTTTACATATTCGTACCTGCTAAGTTGGGTAGGAGACCGATTTACTGGTAGCAGGTGAAAAAGGTAAGTAAAAATAAGACTCACAACGTAAATTCTGATGGCTGAAGAAAAAAGTCTAATAATGCAATGTTAACATGCAATTTATTTTGGATTCCCATCTTAAATAAAGTCAGAAAAAAATAGGAGTGTTTCTGCTATTTTTGAAATAACTTAGGTTGGGCCATGTCACGTATTATAAATTTTTAGAATCGGCACGGGTATTACGAAGGTACCTTGAAAAGTGACATTTCGTCGTTTTTTTGACATTTAATTTTTTTGGCATTTCGTAGGCTTTTCTACAAGATGTTAACTCAGCATGAGCTGTTGTACACCTATTATGAACTCCTTTTGTAGCTGTACGTGTTGCTTAAACGTGAGCGAACATCGATCATAACAAGCAAACGTGGAATGAAGTATTTGCCCACTAAAAACTACCTGGTCTCCAAGATGACATTTCGTCGGTTTTTTTTTAGGTTTTTTATATAATAGCTATGCGGATTTGAAATATCTATTCATCTGTGTTAAGAATCCAATATGGTGTTCATAAGAAAAAATAAAGTTGATGCTGGAAGACAAGAATCGAAACGTGATATTTAAATTCTAATTATGCCATTTTGTAGAGGAGAAAGAGAAGCAATGTTAATGTACAATTTATTTTGAAATCCCACAACAAATAAATTCACGAAAAAATTGAAACGATTTTGGCAAATTAGTTTTTTTTCAGTCTCTCTCCGGAAGTACTTTGAGTTTCGAAACTTTTTAAGCGGCATTTCACCTAAAAATACAACTTTGACCCCATTTAAGCGACTTTGTATCTCTTACAGTTTCCGAGAGCCCAATGGTGAGCGTCGGATATGAAACACCCTGTATATAAAAATCGGCCATCAAAATTTAACTGAAGTTAATTCGGCAAATCGGCCCAACTTAGCAGGTAGTCAGGCGTTGAAAGTACATACAGTGCTGGCAAAGTCATTTTCTCTTTTAGATTTCCATATGTACGAGCGAGAGAGAGAGAGACACAGAGAGAGGGAGAGAAACGAGAGAAGCAAGTCAGAAAAGAGTGCGCCAAAAAAAATGTCTCCACGTTGCCTAGTAACATCCACCCCTACTGTCATCGCCATACAACGTGGTAACGACGCCTATATGGGAACTTTTTCTAACAGGCTTTTCTCGGTCCTATCTCTGTCTTTCTGTCTAACCTGAAAGAGAAAATGACCTTGGCCAGTTCTGTATAAGCGTTATTAAATTCATCGCATTTTGCCTTTCAGAAAATAAGTAATGTCTAGCAGCCCTGGAATGTTTGACTATTAACGGTTTGTTACACCAAATACCACAAGATGGCATGATGGCATACAGTGCTTTTCAAAAAGGTCCCCCTTCCTGCTTATTTTTTGAACGAGTCAAGCTGAGAAACTGAGATTTGGCGTAATGAATTTTCAGAACGTCCCCTGTACAACATATCGACCAAAACTAAGTCCTTAAGTAAATTGGATGCGAAGATCACGAATCTAATATCATGTTCGCTGTGACCGACGGGAGACCTGAAAAGTCTAGTTTTTCCGTTACTTCACTAGAATGCTCAAGTTGTATGATTTACATTAATTTATTAATAACATAATATATATATATATATATATAAAATCCCAGACTTGTAACATATGGCATATCTCTTTCAGAATAATATTTGCGAAGAATCAAACTTCAGTCCACCACACAGATCGAAGCGGGATATCAACGAAAAATCTAACGAAACAACAAAATGGGAGTCGGTGTTACAATTCAAAGTCGTGATGTCCCCTCAAGATATTACAAAATCTCCATTGGACCCATACAAAATTAATGAAAGTCAGTACTCATTGTCAAGCATCGTTGTGATAGTATTATTAATGGTATTGTTAATGCTGATATTATTTCTCACTTTAATTTTATCATTTAAATTGTACTTTAGACATCTCAATTGATAATATGTATATTAAGTTGCCATTTCGTTTACTTGTTGAAAAAAAAATAAAAAAATGATAATTATTCTACATTTAATAAAGTTATCTGAGTAAGATATTTTTCTAATAATATTATGAGAATTACATTGTACCTTTACTTAATCATGAAAGAGCTTCGATATTCGAATTAATATGAAACCCAATGTAGAAGCAAATATTTTATTAAAATCTTCCAGAAGAAATAACAAAATATTATCATCGTTTCATAATGAACTAGTCTAAACTGTTTTTCACGTTTCTTTTAGAGCTTTTGTGTAAAATAAGAGAGGTACGATAGATTTATGTTTATATGAATTAGGTATATACAGTGGACCCCCGATAATCCGGCGCCTGTCTAATCCGGCGCCCCCTGTAATCCGACATGTCTTTGAATATTACATACATACGTATTTGACAATCTTCGCTAATATAGATCACGCAGGTTTGAACAGGTTACAACTTGTACGCGCCACCGCTATCGTGCTCGACGCGTAAGCATTGTTTTACTCAGTTTGAGTTTGACTACTTGTGATAGCGGTATGGCCTAGCGTGCGTTCATTGTTTACTATTTATTAATTGTGTATTAAGTATATATAGTACCTAGTACAACTCAGAAGCGAAAGCACAAAACAATGATAATTAAAGAAAAATGTGATATTTTAGACTGCTTAAATCGCAATGAAACTTTCAGCAGTTTAGCAAGTGAATACGGCGTAGGCCGATCTACAATTTATGACATTAAAAGAAACCACGAGAAGATCAAGAAGTTCGTGTCAACTAATGGCTGCGGGCCAGGCAAGAGACAGATACTCAAGAAAGCTGAACATCCATAAGTGGAAGAAGCTTTGTACATGTGGTTTCTTCAGGAAAGAAATAGGCATGCACCAATTCCAGGACCCATGTTGGCCATGAAAGCTAAGTTTTTTTATAAGGAAATAACAAAGAAGATGATTTTCTGACCAGCAAAGTCGTCATGGCATACGTTTAATGACTATTACACAGGAGAAACTTTCTAACGATGCCACCTGCATAGAGCCCTTTAAATTAAGATCTTTGCAAAAGGTGAACGATTTAAATCTTGACCCGTCACAGGTGTACAATGCAGACGATTCAGGGCTTTTTTGGCATGTGATGCCGAACAAAACTTTCGTTTCTTGTAAGGAAAAATCCGTACCTGGACGAAAAGTAAGTAAAGAGCGTGTAACCATACTAACTAACGCTGCGGGCACACACGCGCTTAAGATGACGGTCATTGGGAAATCTAATAAACCACGGGCATTCAAAAACATTGATTTACCTGTACACTATTACGGACAAAAAAGTGCATGGATGACAAAAGACCTTTTCAAAAAGTGGTTTGGTTTGATGAATGCTTCGTACCTGAAGGTAGAAAATTACCTTTCCTCAAAAAGCGTTGTTGCTTCTTGATAACTCTCCCGGTCATCCGTCTGAAGAAGAACTAACAACCAATGGACCAGAATATCATTCAGTTTGTCAAGCAACTCTATAAGAAAAACCTACTTCTGAGGGCCGTATCAGAAGACCAACCAATAGAAAAAACTTTAAAAGAATTTAATACGAAAGACTTGGTTTTTGCTCTTTGTCAGTCGTGGAATGCGTTACCGTCATCAACTATTAAATCGTCTTGGAAAAAGTTATGGCCAGATATAGTCACCACTCCTAGCAACATTCCACAAATCAGTGTAACTTCGGAAGTTATAGAACAAGTCGCTACTGAAACACAGATAAGTCCGGAAGATTTGGCAATCTGGTGCCGTGGAATGGATAAAGAGGAAAATGTTTTTCATGAAATGTCTGATGAAGAGATTATAAAAGAGGTTTCTAATTATACAACAAACAATCAGGAAAATAACGACGACGTGATTGCAACTGCTCCATACGTCACAGCACAAGACGCAATTAACGCCTTTGAGCTAGGTTTACAATGGGCTGAAGAGAATCGTACATCCTACAACGGACTTTTACTTTTAAGAAGACTGAGGGACAAAGCTCTGATCTCGCGTTATAACAACCTTAAAAAAAAATTGAGGAGTATTTCCAAGCTTCATAATTTGATAAATTCATTAATGATTTTGATTAATAATTCTTGATTATTTTGGTACATATGTATGTGCATTTATGCTTAATTTTATAATAAAACGTAAGCTCTCTATTGTTATTTAATTTACTAAATCCGACATACATAAACTAGGTATGATTTTTACTTCATAACATATATAATCTTACCATTGGATATGTAATTTGTCGGATCACAAGGTACTCTTTTGTCAAAAAATCCGGACTATAGGGGGTCTTAGGCAGAGCTCTATAATCCGGCAAATTCGATATTCCGACACTGCCCTGCATAATGTTTGTCGGATTACCGGAGGTCCACTGTATACTGTTATTCGTATTATATTTAAAGTATTTGAAAGTGTATTGTTAATAAAAAATATGGTTGAAAAACATGTTCAAGGTTTATTAAGAACACCTATAAAATTGGGAGATACTTTCCTTTCTTTTCGGTTACATTAGTACTAACTTGCGGATCATTTTCAAAATATGTGTTCTGAAAATGATGATGAACTGTGCCGTACTTGAGCACCTACGTTTAAGTGTATTCCTAAGATAAAGAATATGATGTGTAGTCATTCTTTCACGTATAATATGCAGGTATTCATTATTGATTATCAAAGCAACAAAGGTCTCTATAGTGATTATATTCAAGTCACAAACTGACTTCATTTTTAGAATGCTCATTGTGTTAGCGCCTTACACAATAAATTTTTATTATAATCAAAAATAGAAACTATTTATTGCTACATATACTATAAATGTCAGGAATGACATGACTATATGATATATAATATTATATGAACGCAACGAAAATATTGAAAGTGACTCTGTTCAGTACTTAGGTATTCGAAATATTTTTACTCCTACATCCACATCTTCAAATGGAAATCAGTGGTTCCAGAGCCATCTCTGTCGCCTCGCGTCACGTGACAAACGTCTTTTCCGATGGACTTAACAGTTTCTTAGATAGATCATAGCAGAAGGAGATGCATGTCCCACGATTCAGGTTGAAAAATTGCATCAAGTGGATTGACTCTGCACTCCCTACGCAACGCCGTCATCACTTCATAAAACATGAAGTTTGGCGCAATTTAAATCTTCTAAACAGGTCCATACAATTAACCCACAGACATTCTTTTCCTGCCCTTCTCGTAGTTACCGTCCATGTGGCAACGTTGTCCCTTTCGAAATTTGCGTTTCGTACAAGGTCAATGTATATGTTTTTTGCGCTGCAGTACGGATAGATATATACGCCATGCGATGAGCTTAGATAGACAGGAGTTTGCTGATCTATAAGCATTTTTCCTTCATTCTAAGTTTCGGGTAAATCTATGATATGTGAAATACGGTTAATAGGTGTATGGAATTACCAGTCTTCTGGGCGTATAAATATACTAAGATCAAAAAAAGTCATTTGCCCTTTCCCACTTCCTACAACCTACGATATTTTTTTCGTTTTTGGCCTTTTTCTCCACCGCAACTGGACCGATTTTCAAAATCTGTAAAGCATTTGCATCCTTGGCAATCGTGTAACCCTGTGTGAAAGCTTTATCAAAATCCGACCGGTAGTTCTCAATTTTTAGGCGTTTATAACATTTGCAGATAGACAGACCGATGGAAATGAGTAACCTGGTTTTTAGTGATAAAATGTCATATAACATCCAAAAAACATATGAATTTTGAAATTTCTCGCGATTACAATACTTCCACGACCAATGGCGTAGGAAGTAAACTTTGGCGTCTAGGGGCGGGAGGCGCTCCCCTCGCCACCTTCTAAATCCGCACTTTCTCTTCTATTTTTCGAGCAGCAAAGAAGCACTTTGCACTCCTGTTCGTAAGAAATGATGTAGTTTTTGGAGTTCATTCGTGTTTGAGCGTCACATATTTTTACAATAAAAATGGACAAATTTTTGTATAATAGATTTCGTATTATACTCTCACATACGCAGACTACAAAATGCTTGCTGCTTATAAATATCGAAGTAGGTACAAGATACATGTAGGCATAAAAGCGTAAATCATATCTCATATAGTTCATATGTATGTCGATCGGCTTCATTCGTTATCATATTTCGTGGACAGAACTAGTAGTTTTTTATACATACAATATTATGCAAATATATTTCGAAGCCCTTAATAAATAACATTTTCCACAAGCAAAAAAATCGACTTACCGCAAATAAGTAATTATCCTATTACGAAAAAAATGTTCAAATTCAAACACTACATAATGAAATAAATGCATGCATCTTGTCCCGGGATACTATTTCAACATAATAAAGCAAAAGTCTACACGTTGCACTCCTCACGACGAAAGAAACTCGATAAAGGATACTTTATAACGCGCATTTCACTTCAAGGGAACGAATAATGACTATTTGATTTGTTTTCATTGAATGCACATCAAGGTGTAGTAGGCTACGATTCTCCTTATCGCCGCTGGTTACTTGTGACTTTTATTACAATACGCGTTGGTCAACATACATACCGAGCGTATATCGTATATCGCCGCAAAGCGTAAACTTACTAAACAAATCATTAACGGGGGAATTGTTAAATAATGTTTTTAATTATAAAGAATGCTTGAATTCAAACTTGCGTTCTCGGAGGTCAAGAGCCCGGAAAATGATTTGATTGGCTGTTGAAAGCGATATGATATGCTTGAGGCGTTGCCAATGTTAATAGTTTGTGCATATTTGCTAATAAATGAAATAGTACAGGCTTCATAAAAAAAACAAGTTGCCGAAGTGCATCAAGCTTGTAACAAGGAAGACGAAGATGAAAAATTGTATCTTCAAAATGCTATATTTGCAATTTTTTTATGAAGCAATAAAGAATTCCCGCGTATCTGTGATTTGGATAAGCGACCTGCTTGATAGATAAGGTCAATGAAATCCAGTAGCATCTTTTTTTCCATGAACAAATAAACTAAAACCGACAAAATGTTATCTTGCAGACTAGGTACTTTTTAGCGTGCAAATAGTTCAGTTTGCTTGCTATGATCGCCGTTCGCTGACGTTTAAGCAACACAAACAGCTACAAAACGAGTTCACAACAAGTGTACAACAGCTTATGCTAAGGTAACATCTTGTAGAAAAAACGACTAAATGTTTGTTCGCTATGATCGCTGTTAACGTCATCAGAAGCGTCCATCTATGGAGGAATAACTCAACGACAGGACACGCTCAGGCATGCATTGTTGGTTGCAAGAAGCCAAGTTCATGTTTAAGAAGATGTGAAAGAAAGAATGTTGGTTGAGTACCCTTATCGCATCTGAAGATTATGTGTATTGGTCTGCATGTGTATAAAATCTGTGATAATTGCTATGTGAGAAAATTATTACTGAATATGTTGCAATGAAGTATATCTATTAGCTACGCGCGACAGCTTATTTATATGTTGTCCTTTCTGAAAACAGCTTATGTCTAAAATTATAAATTACCATTTTTCCTTTGAGGAGAATTACGAGAAATCACCACCGCGCCTAAAATCGCAGTGTAACATTGTCACATTTGCGAGCTATAAGTTTTCTGAGATTTCTTGGCGAGAAAAAGTTGGTAAAAGATGGAAGTTGACCCAGGAGGATCAACAGATGACGCAGTTCCACATATTAAGAGCAAAGAGCTGAGCGGTGGCGGAAACCAAGCCGAAGCAGAAAACATAAGAGCCCACTGACGCAGATGTCATCGGTGCAGAAAACGATCGAAAAACTGATGCTGATTATAGACGGCCAGGCGAAGCAGATTCGAGACCTAATGAAGACCATCAAGAACCAGACAGCCAAAATTGACAGCCTGACCGCCCAGGTATCAATATTAGTAAATTCAAAAGAATCCCATAAAGAACGGACAAACACTCTAAAAAGACCACTGAGAAACATTACTGATGATCATGTCACATCCACAGACGAAGACGTACAGACCGACGGATTTGTATGAACAAAATCAAGAGGGAGGAAAGGTGACAAGGCTGATCGACCAACCCAAGACTTTCCTCCTCTTCTGAATACAGGATCAATGTTTGGACATGAGGGACATTCCCAAAAAGCGGGAATTTCATCAAGCTCTTTTGGATGAAGGTATAGATGTGGCCTTGCTGCAGGAAACGCTGCTTAATCCGGGAGATCGTTTAGCTCTCCTGAATTATGATGTTATCCGAGGTGACAGATTGAATGGTATAGACTATTATAGAAGCACTAATGAGGAGATGCATAGTATCGAAACAGCGTCTGTGGTGGTCAATATGGCGGCGGACGTCATTTGAAGATCACATCGGTGTATATCAGGTGTGGTGCCAGGTTACAAGAGGCGGATCTGGAGGTCCTTTTGGACTACTCGGATCCGCTTATTGTGGCAGGGGACTGCAAACATCGAGCATGGAATTCTAGGTTTAATTCCACTAGTGGAATTCGATTGTACAACCATGTGATGCGAAATGGGTACCTTATACATAGCACTGAACAGCCGACACACCATCCATTCAACCATCTTCAGGCACCAGATGTCATCAACTTCGCGATGTCTAAAAACTGTAGATTCAGTATCACTTTTCGAATCTTGTATGATATCTCTAGTGACCATCTACCTGTTGTCTTGGATGTGTGCAATGAGCAAACTTCTGAGGAGGAATCTCCTCCAAGGAAGTTCATTGATTGGGAGCTATACAAGTTTCCCAATATCCCGACTATAGATGATGAGTCTGAAAAAGATGCCGCTCATGCGGAGTGGACAAGTTCCATTAAAGCAGCTCTACAGCGTGCAGCTGTACTTCCTGTACAATGACACGGTAGACCTTTTTTGTCTGCGGACATTAATCAGAAAATCTCTGACAAAAGAGCGGCTATAAAACAGGCAAAAAGGTCTTGTCATCCTGATGACATTCATAGGGCTGCAAGTCTTGTCTATGAAGTGAGAAACGCACTGCACGAACTCCGCAACGAGCAATGGAGTGACTTTCTGGCGGGAATGATCGATTCAAGTATTCCTCTATGGAGGGTCGTAAAGTCACTCAGAAACGGAAAGCGAGAACAACTCCCGCACATCCACGGTCCTGAAGGCATAGTCTTCGGAACTGAGGATAAGGTCGAGGTTTTCGTTGATGCCATGGAAAAATAGTTCTCTCCCAACTGTAATCTTGATAATGACCTCGACGAGGAACAGCACATCGCACGATCCGTTAGGAGATATTTTAAGTCCAACGGCGTTAGCGAAGACACTGATTCCTCTTCAGATGACTCTTCAGAAGATTCCTCTGAGGGTCCACATAGCACATTAGTGGAACCCTCCGAGGTTCCACATTGCACACCAGCGGAGCTCCTAAGTCATATTAAAGACCTGAAGGTGCGTAAAGTACCTGGGGAGGATCAAATCACCAACAAGGCGTTGAAGCTGGTCTCGCCGAAAGCCCTGACATATTTGGTGACAATAATCAATGCGATGCTCAGAATCGAGTACTTTCCTGCTGGGTGGAAGACTGCTGAGGTCATCATGATTCCAAAGAAGGTACGTTGGATATTTTCTCAGGATTACCGTCCCATAAGTCTGCTGTCATCTCCTTCTAAGCTCGCTGAAAAGGTGATTTATCGTCACCTTGAGAATTTTTTGTCAAATCACCACGTGATTCCTGACGTTCAATTCTGTTTTCGGTCCGAGCATAGCACCGAACTACAGGCAGTCAGGCTGGTGGAACATGTAACCAGAGGGTTTACCCTCAGCATGAGTACTGGCATCTTGCTTTTGGATGTCTCAAAAGCCTTTGACAAAGTGTGGCATGCGGGCCTCCTCTATAAATTAATCCAAAGGGGTTTTCCTTTTTGGCTTCTAAAATTACTGAAATCCTTTCTTGAAGGAAGGAAGTTTCGGATCAAAATTAACAATGTTTTGTCCTCAGGGTTCGGTCCTAGAACCAATCCTTTATTCGTTTTTCATCCATGATGTCCCTAGACCCAGCAACTCTGACGACACTGCACTTGTCGCCCAGTCGTGTACTAGTGATCTGATTCACGATGGGTTGCAGAATGCGGTGGTCGAAGTACTAGAGTGGGCGGAACGGTGACTGATAAAAATTAATCGTTTAAAAACGCAGGCTATTTATTGTACCAAGAAACGTTGCGGCCCACGGAAATCGTGTACTATAGACAAATTCTGCCAAGTAACTCGGTGTCACTCTTGATAAAGGCATGACCTGGCAGAAACATACAGCATCCATAAAAACAAAATTCCAAATTGCGTTTCGGCAACTATATCATTTGTTATGTAGATCCTCCAAATTGAGTTTGATAAACAAATTTCGACTATATAAAATGATTATTAGACCAGCCATTACTTATGCATGTGCGGCTTGGTGTTTTCTTGCCAAGACACACATGCAAAGTCTTCAAGTACTGTATTGCACAACTTTGCGGACAATTTGCAACGCTCCATGGTATGTCTCAAATGAGACACAACACAGGGACCTTGACATTCCTTACTTGAGAGATTATGTTATGCTTCAGGCGAAGCGACGTTATAGTCAAGCGGAATCGCACAGCAACCCTCTGTTGCGTGACTCAGTGGGCTACACGGTGGAGCAAGTTCTTAAACAAACTCGAAATTACACTCTAACAAAACCGAATCAAAAATTTGTTTAGTTCACCTCAAAATGTATGTACCAAGTCACAAAGCCTAGGTGTTTCCTCTTAAACTAAGCACATCTGTCTTTCTTTGCTCTTCCCTTTTTTCTTCTCTTTTTCTTTTTCCTTGACTTTGTCTGGTTTCTGGACAACCAGGACGGACAGATTCGACTAACGTACATTGGACAGTGACTAATGAGCAAAGGTCCTACGGACCGCCCAGACAAACAAATGACGAATAGTAGTACCACCGCACCCGCGTTGTGTGTAATTACTGTTAGCATGTATATGACTTCTAATTCGACAATGTACATTGGATGTAATTGCAATATGTGACAGTTTGTAAGATTAGAATATAAGATTCCACATAAAGTTAATTATACTTCTCCAACCAGGGATTTTCCTTTCTTATCTCTCTCATTTTTTAAATTCAGCAAATTTGCATATGTAATTTCCAGAATGAATAATAAACAGTGGATGCGCAATTAATTTCTAGCTTTTAATACATCTCAGGTAAGAGTATTTGAGACAAGAGACCAATGGAATTATCATCAATACAGATTATTAGCACAGAAATCGTCACTTTAATAATATAAAACTTACAGCTTAGACCTCCAATTATGCCTTCGCTGAAGCAGATGTTACATTACATTAGAGCCAAACATTGATAGCTGAAGGATCATGACCTTTAGGCAACACGTACAGCTACAAAACCAGTTCACAACAAGTGTACGACAGCTATTGTTAAGTTGACATCTTGTGGAAGAACCTAATTTATGACACAAGAAGCCTATATAATGTCAAAAAAATTAAATAATGAAACTTTTCAATATACGTAATACCCGTGCGGGACAAGAAGCTCATTTTCTGAGTAAATTGGCTGCGTAGAATGCGTATCCGACGCCCATTTAGCGAGGGTCCCAAACCGACATAATTTCTACTTTAAGCTCGGACTCATGATACTTAGCGATACTCAAACTCACCGTTCCAAATTAACAACTGAAATAAAATTTTGGGCTTCATACCTCATATCATTCATGCTAAAATGACTGCATTATAATGAGTATGAAAATAAGTCCTAGTCAATTTGGCAACATTGCTTTTGACCTTTACTCATGAATGACAGTTAAAAATGACAGATCATCAACTCGATTTCAACATGGTGGCATCAACTAAACTGTACGACTCAAATTATTGTAGGCTATGTGGAGAAAAAAACGAAAATGGAACTCAAATTTTCGGATCTAAAGAAAATGCTTCAGATTTAAGCCAACTTATTAACAAATATCTACCAATTAAGGTACGTTTTCAATACCCCTTCAGTAGCGCAATTGAACCCTATTGTACTAAAGAGGGAAATTCAAATTTTTGAATATGAATGCCTATTCCAGGTCGAAGACGATAAGAAGTTTCCAACTTCGATATGCCCAGGGTGCCATATCCAACTGGAAACAACAAAATTGTTCATGGACTTAATAGTAGAAGGTCAAGCTAAGCTAAGGTATTTGCATAATTTGCAACAAAAGTCTTTAAAGCAACAGGAGGCTCAGGTTAAGCAGCTCCTCCAAGGAGTTCTTATTTTGAATGATGATGGGACAATGCAACCATTTGGAGATGCAGAGGGAAAGCAACTCTTTATACAAGGTATGACATCAACTTGTTTAATCTAGTCACTAAGTGATGCACTTTCAAGGTAAGCACAGTAAAGAGCTGTCTACTGTAATTTTTTGATCTACAGAAAAAACGTTCTAAATGATACCATGGTGCATACAAAGTTACACAGTCACAGCTGCATTAGCATATTGCTGAGTTTTTGAAGAATTTCTATTCTTTCAAGATGTTAGGTTTGTGAACATTACTTATTCTCTGAAATACAAAACATTGGGCAATGAATACCATTGATATGCCTGCATACCTGCTAATCTCGGTAGAGAGGTAATTTACTGGTACTTTGTAAAACATCATTATAATGTTGTATGTAAGTTATAGTGTATAATGTAAAATTGTTCATGCAGTGTTTTTTTGTATGCAGGGTTTCAGTGCTATGAAATAATGTGTCCCATATAAAAGAATGAAACTATTTGATAGGACTTTTCTGAGACATCCTGTATACAGAAAAAACCTAGCATAAACATTTTATATTAGACTCTATCTTTCAAAAGAAACTTTTCTATACCATCAAACAAGCAAGTTAGTGAGAGGTCATCAATAAGCTTGTTTGAAGTGTCTAGTTGAAATTATGGCTGGCAGTGTCAAGCAGTACTTGTTATTCCTTTGTAATGGTACCTGTGATTCATCAATTTTTGGGATTTCAATTTGACTATGGTTTTACAGTGCTTCCAGACAACAAACTCTATCCATCGACTCATAACCTTGCATTGAAAGCATTGGGCTTAGATAAACCAAAAAAAAAAGAGGCAGACCTCCCAAAAAAGAAACTCCACCAGTGGAAGAAAGAGATGTCCATGACAGCTCAGCTACCACAGAGGAAAAGGAAGATGAAGAAAATATTGAAGAAGGTGGTCGTAGAAGAAGGAAGATCAAGGCACCTCTGAGATTTGTTGGAGTTGTAGAGGTCAGCAAAAATACCTTCAATGGTATTGGTAAAAGCTCTTAGGAATACTTATGAATTATTTTTTATTTCCACTGCCTATGAGCATATTTAAGTGCTTTCACATTTTCTTTGAAGAAATATTGACAAAACCTGCCCATCAATATGAAAACGTGAAACTTTGATTCAAAGTTATGACATAATTAGTTCTAGCCTGACATAAAAGTATTTTCTACCTCTTGTCCTTGGAATGTGATCTTATTTCTGAGATGGAGGTTGGATCAAGCAAATCTCATCGGCTTATTCCTCTAAAGGGAAATACAGATAATTTAAATGAGTTTTTTTCTATGTATCAAATTTTTTTTTTTGCAAAACATGACTGAAAAAACGAAGATAAGCTACATCATCCGTGAAAATGGATGTAAACAGTTGATGTTGAATGGGAAGGTTGAAGAACTGTAAACACCAAACTTGTAGAAATAAGGTTTCTCAAAATGTTTTTAGAGAATTTTTGTTCTAAACTGTTTAAACTTTTTCATGTTGGATGTTATGTTAATTTCAGGGTGAAGAGTTGGAAAAATTATTGGAAGAAGAAGGTGTTATAGAGAAAGATGATTTGCCTGAGATTGATACAAGTGAAGTTATTGGAAAACTGGTGAATGAAGATGGGGAACCAATTGGGGATGATATTGTTATGAGTCAGAAACAGAAAACAAGACTTGCACTTGGTAATTTGAGATCACTATTATTTCTCACATATTCTGTGTAACAAATAACGTTCAAATTGATTTCATTTTAACTTTTATTGTATTCTACCTGAAAATAGCCAACCTGATACTGAAAAACGACTCCCAAAAGAAATCTAAAAGATCCTAGCCTCATATATGAGACAATAGTTGAAGACAAAAATGAATTTGGAAGAGTTAGTCTTTGGTTTTGCTACAGTCTCATAGATGTCGCACTTTTTGGCGCCTCTCTAATGCTAATCAATGCTCTATCAGTGTTGGCAGAAGTAACGGAATTCCGCTACTGGTAGCGGAATTTCCAAGTGGTAGCGGCGTGGCAGCGGAATTAGATTTTTTGTTAAAAGTAGCGGAATTTTACAATTTAGGTACATATGATGGGTATTTTTACCAGAAAAAAAAATTGAGTACAGTTAGTAACCAAATCTAAATACAGATATCTTTCCAAACAACAGTGGTAACCATCGGCCAGTAATTCTTATTCAACGGAGATGCGCATAGATGATAGTAGGTGGTAAGAACACAACCTGTGAAGTGTATTTCCAAAGTATGTCTAATAATTTTAACATTTGCCACATGGTAATGCAGATGTCGAGTGGACATTTGTCTATCAAAAAAGTTTTCTTTTGAAAACAAAAAAAACGGTAACAAAATTGGTGTTGATTTAATACAAAACCAACTACAGTAATCAGTATGGACCTTCCAATTATGTCATCACCTCTTGTGAAATTCAGCCACTTTTATCATTTGTTACAGGTACAATGAAAGAAAGGAAAAAAGAAAAATATCAATGTGATGTCTGTAGCAATAGTTATACATCTTATGGAAGATACCAACATCATATAAAAACACACAAAATGCAGTACTACACTACCAAAGACAAAGAATGTGAATACAAAAGTGAGAAGCCTGATGAATTCGATCAACATCAGAATGAAACTGAACATTCTGACATACATTTTGTCGCCAAGGATTTTGTATGTATTTATATTTACTTTAGATGCGCTGAAGTATTGACAATCCCAAAAATGAAACTTGCATGATTTAAAAATATTTGAGTCCCCCGAGAAATTTCAACAATGCACCAAAATGACTTGGAACATATTTGAAATTCTTTGTCCTCCACTCATAATTCCACTGCTGTTGGATCAACTGGCAAATCCTACAATTTTATTGACATAGTAATATAGTAGTAGTGAAAAATCATGATTTTTCCTATTTTTCAGAAAAATATTGATCCTTCACAACCATATTTCCAATTGCCTGATAAGAATGATGAAATTGAGTCAACTAAAATCAGCGAGTCAAAGACACATACTGTCAATGAACAAAGTCAAACTACAGAGCAATGTACTGAGAACTGGACACCCGGGATATTGAAAAATACAACAAATGTATGTTCTACTTGTGGCAAATCATTCAGTTGTAAGCAAAATTTACAGGTACATGAAAGGTATGTTCCAGTTAAAATGTAATAAACTCAGAAGTTGGTTCATATGTAACGCCTTGACCCACTTGTGATAAATTATTAATTTACATGTTTTAGTTTTCTACTCAATTTCTTCCAACATTAATGCTTAGACATTTCCCCAACATTTCAAAATCCTCTAATTGAAAAATATGTCCAACTGCTGAGAAAGACTGGTCCGAGGCAGATCTCACTTGTTGCTTATTTCAAAATTCCTTTTCTGGTCTATGTTGTTATCATTATGAAATTACTGAGGCCAAGGACTGGCAGCTTCAGTTGGTAATCTACCAATTCAAAACGTGCTTGTTGAAAGGTAGACATAGCAATGCAGGAGTTGCATTTTCTTTTTGAAGCAATGCATCACTTGTCAACTTCCTAACGTTTCTATGTAAAAGCACTTGTCAATTTATAGATTAAGCTTGCACAGTAAGTTCCTGTAGTTCTGCGTGTCCTTTGAAACACTTTTCTTTAACGTTTTGGTCAGCCTATACCATTACAGGTGGTCTATTGCCATGTTTGTTTTCCAAAGATGACCTTCCACATTTGAAATCACGCCTATATCATCTCCTATATGAACGAGGGCTCTTTTGTTTTCTCATAAATAAGCCCCACCCCTTTTCTTTTTCTGTTCTATACAGATAGATTTTTTTAACGAAGTCATATCATTTTTTAAACTCAAATACCCTAATAACATATAAATATCAGGTTTTTAGAAGTAAAGAACTTTAAAAAGCAAATATATCGAAAATTGTAGACACAATTAGAACTAAAATACAATAGTATAGGGTCCGTCAGAAAGAACGCATGTTTTTTAAATGAGTAGTACAGTCAAAATATGTATGGGAAAACATATTTTATTATATCAAAATACTCAGAAATACATGCCATTTTTTGAGTAAAACAAAATTTGCGTTCTAAAAACTATGTCGGCCAGCATCCGTGCAGGAATTTGGGTTACTTCTCTTCAAATCGACGAGGGTCCGAGGCTTGCTTTGGTAAACTTTTGGTTTCAGGTAATCCCTTAAAAAAAATCACGTTGACAGGTCCGGGGAGCGAGGGGGCCATGGAATATCGTCATGACGTGAAATGAGACGTCATGAAAATTTTTGCTGAAGAAGTTCCATCGAAGTGCGAGCTGTATGAGATGTTGCCCCATCTTGTTGGAACCACACTGTTCTGAGACGGACACGTCGACATCGAAGTTCCGGGAAAAAAAGGTTATTCAGCATGTGGATATAACGCTCTGAATTCACAGTAGTTGTTTCTCCATCATCTCAAAAAAATAAGGGCAAATAATCATCGTTGGGCCTACTGCACACCAAACTGTAACTTTTGGGGTATGCAGGGAGTGCTCATGCAACTGTTGGGGGTTCACTGTAGACCAATATCGACAATTTTGTTTATTTACGTATTCATGTAAATGAAAATGGGCTTCATCACCCATAAACAACGTCATGTCATTGTTATCCAACTGATCAATCATGAGCTGTGCAAAATTAACTCGTGCATAATCCCCTGGCAACAGTTGTTGACAAAGTTGGATTTTGTAAATATGGAACACTAAATCCTTCTTTAAGATGCGACGTACAGAGGTCGCGTGGATCCCTATGGAACTGGCACGCAAACGGACGGAACGATTCGGGCTTTGCAGCGTGTCAACTCTCACTCTGTCTACGTTTTCGGGGGTTCTAACAGTACAGTTTCGCCCTAACGGTTTTTTTCTTCATCACATTACCTGTTGTGTTGAATGCTTCCACCTATCTCAAAGTGGTGTTACGGTTTGGTACTGTCTCACGACGTGGAACACGAAAGTGAACGCGAAAATCACGTGCCATTTGAACGAAAGACTCGCCATTTTCAAAGTACCGACGTACAGTGAACACACGATGATCAACGTTCCAAACCATCTTGCCAACTGAAATGGCACTTCTCCCGCTATCCAACACACCCTTCCCCACCGATACGGGACCAGCCCACTCGATGTAGTACCCATTCGAAAAACATGCGTTCTTTCTGATGGACCCTGTATTTTAACACCCCAAATTTGTTTTGCTGACTTGAACTGTTAAAAAAATTGGTAAGCGCGACCGTTTTTAAAAGTACCGTATGCAAATTGTTAAATTTAAATTAAATATTCTTTTTTGTTAGTAATAATAATGTGACTTTATTTTCGGTTGAAAGGACAACAAAGAAAAAAAAACTCATTTGATGAGGGAGGCGGCATTCAACACCGTTGCTCTTCCATGCAACCCCCAAAACACAAATTTCAGTTTATAGCTGCCTCTGACATTTGGCATTTTAAAGGTTGTCATTTATACAGGGTGACTTTGAAGTTGAGGCATTAATTTTCAGATAATGATGGTAGAAGGAAGATAAACCAAAATATGTGTGTAAAAATAAAAAAAAATTAAAAAAAAATGTTTTACCTTGTTTTATAAACTATCCTCCCGACAAGTTTTTCAGTGCGGACCTGTATTTGATCGTGAGGTCTTGGAGCACCGGCACTTAAGTCACCTGATTCACGAGCCCGTTGTACTACATTAACAAAGCCACGAGGGGTTGGTTGCACTCGATTAGGAAACCGATCCGCATAAATATGTGCCATTTTTTATTTCGTTTGAGCCGCGCAACAATCACCACTATTCACTCACGCGTTACCGACTGACACAGACTGAATAAAAACATCGTGATCAGCGTTTCAAATTCTTTCGCTTTTTTGTTTCCGATGCGATGAACTGCTAAGGCGGAGTATATCCGTTGTCGCCAAACACGAGCACATAATATTATTATTGAGACAGGGCGGTACTCAAACTTCTAAAGGGCTATAACTTTGTTACTTTAATTTTACCACAAAAAAGTTAAAGGAAAAAAACATTTCTTTTGATCAGATCTACTCACTGTTAAAATAAATGACTCAACTTCGAAGTCACCCTTTATACATATGTCAGAAACCATCAACCAACCATTCTCTAGTACTTCAGTTTTTCATAACAAACAGATTGCATTAACATGTTAAGATTGCCCTTAAGAAACAATGCACCTTCCACCAGTCACCACAATAATTTGATGAATTTCAGTGGGCACCATAAACGCTTTTTGCAGACATTTTATTATGGCTCTTTGGTCAACAGGATCCATTTTTATTAGAATCCTTGTCATACATGAACCAGAACTCATATAACGACAAAAAAGTTTGATATATAAACTTAATGTTTTGTTAACATAGCTTGCTAAGATCATTTGTTCTGTACAATATGCATAAAATAAACGTCAGCACGGGGGTCAGGGACTAAACATGAGGATCAACCCTCGTTTGTTACATTTTTTTTTTTTATATCGAAACAGCCGCGCAGGCAAAAGCCTAAATGCCGGAACACCGCGGCTGCTATGATGATCCCAAAGAAATTTTGTTAATGCGATTTTTGAACTGCCTAAGGTTAGTAGAACTGGGAAAAGCTTCCTCCCGTAGATTGTTCCACAATCTAGACACCCTCGGGACAAAGGATCGGTCGTATCGGCCAGTTCTGGATGTACGAAGTTTGACACGGTTAGGATGGGACGCCGAAGTCAGGCGGGTCTGTCTGGCAGGCACATCGCGCGGCGGCATCATGGAAGAGAGCTCTGAGGAGCAAAGCCCGTTGGTGTAGCGATAGAAAAGAGCTAGATCGCCGACGGCCCGCCGGTGCGAAAGAGTCCCGAGACTGTCTGTTAGGGAAGAGTCCTCGATCAGTCGGACCGCCCTCCTCTGGACAGCATCGAGCATGGACAATGTAGTCGGGGCGGCAGCACCCCAAATGTGTGAGCAATACTCGAGGCTAGGCCTTATCTGGGCCTTGTATAGAGTGAGAAGGTCATGCGGAGAAAAGTACTTCTTAGCCCTAAACAAATAGCCTAGCTTTTTCCCAGCAGCTGCAGCTATTGAAGAGATGTGTTCGTGCCAGATCAGGTCCTCGGTGATCTGGACCCCGACCAGCCGAAATGAATGGCTCTTTGGTAGAACTCGACCGTCCATCGAAACTGAATGAGCGCTAGGACGCTTTTTGTTCGTCAAAGTACAGTACTGTGTTTTGGAAGCATTGAACTGTACAAGATTGTTGCGCCCCAAGCAGTGATAGCCTCCAGGTCTCTTGTCAGAGAAGAAGTCGTCGCTAGTCTTCTTTTTTCCAGCTCAGCGGCAGAGATCGGCTTGTCACTCTGAATTCCTGCATGTAGAGTGCTGTCATCAGCGAAGCTGTGGATTGGGTTGATCGTGCAGGAAAGGAGGTCGTTGATATGTAAGAGAAACAGTGTTGGAACCAAGACCGATCCCTGGGGAACACCCGCTTTGACGTTGTGGGATGAAGAGGAGAATCCGTCAATTACGACGGATATCTTGCGGCCAGAGATAAAGTCAGCCACCCATCTGCAAAGCTTTTCTGGGAGGCCGTAGGATGGAAGTTTGCTTAAGAGGGCAGCGTGCCATAGCTGATCGAACGCTTTCGTGATGTCAAGAGCAACGACATGAGCCTCACCATGAGACTGGATGAGTTTACTCCACAGTTGCGTGACGTAAGCTAGGAGGTCCCCTGTGGATCGTTGGTGCCGGAGACCGTACTGCCTGTCGCTAATCAAGCTGTGACGTTCGAGGTAGTCCAGAAGCTCGCGATTTATGCACCTCTCCATCACTTTACCGAAACAGAAAGCAGAGCTATATGCCTGTAGTTGTAAGGGTCGGTTTTAGATCCTTTTTTTGGGATGGGCTGTACATGAGCAAATTTCCAGTTTTCTGGGAAGGTGCCGGATTCATAAGATATCTGGAAGAGACGCGAAAGAACTGGAGCAAGCTCCGCTGCACATCTCTTCAATACAATGGCAGGAATCAAGTCCGGACCAGAAGCTTTGTTGATGTCGAGCGACAAGAGCACTCGTCTTACGGTCTTATGCCTGAATGTTACCTCCCGCATAGTGTGGGGAACCCTTTGAATTGACGGCACTTGGGCGTTGATGGAGACGTCGATGGTGGAGTTGGCAGCAAAGATCTTGGCTAGCACTTCCGCCTTGGCCTTTGAGTCGAATACAATAGTTCCATCCTGACACGTAAGTGGTGGAAGGCTACTGTGTGAGAAGTTCTTTTCAATCTGCTTGGCCAGCGTCCAGAAAGACCGACTGCCATTGCGCTGCGACATTACCCTGTGCCTAACTTTTATATCATGCTGGTTTTTGGCATTGCGAACCGCTTCGTTATATTTGTTTCTGGACTCGACGTCGGCTTGTCTGTTCTCTACAGTGGGGTTTTGTAAGTAGGTTCTGTGGGCCTTGATCTTCTGCTGGCGAGCAGTGTCACACGATTTGTTGAACCAGCCGTTGGACCCTGGTTTAGGAACTTTCACTGTGTGAGGGATGTATTCCTCCATTCCAACGTGGATAATTTCGGTTATTGAAGAACAGACAGTCGACGCATCCGCGTCAGTGAAACAGACATCTCTCCAAGGAAAGCTAGAGAAGAAGTCTCTGAGCCCCTCCCAGTCGGCATGTCCGTAATGCCAAGTTTTGCGGCCTGTGCGAGTTTCTGCTGCCACAGCGGCATCGGACCGAAACCTAACCTCCACAACACCGTGATCTGAGTTACCCAGGGGGGACAGGACAGCAGTGCTGTAAGGGGCAGGATGCGTGGTCAGAAAGAGATCCAGCTGGCTACTGGCGTGTGACGAGACGCGGGGGAAAAAAGTAGGGCTTGTCACCAGCTGGGTCAGCCCTTGAGTAAGAGCGAACGCTTCGACTGCACGACCTGCTGCATCGGTCTTATTTGAGCCCAACCAAAGCTCATTATGGGCATTGAAATCACCGAGAAGAACTACCTCTGAAGCGGGGTGATTGATGTTCAGGAAGTCGATCTGGACGGCGAGGTATTCGAGTAGGTCATCCCAGTTATGGTTCGATGGAGAGCGATAAAGGCAGCAAATAAATCTGGGTGATGTTTTGGAGTTGAGGCGAAGCCACAGAATGTCCTTCCGGTCTGATTCCAAAGAAAGATCCCTGGAGCAGGAAAGACTGCTGCGGACAAAAGCCACAACTCCCCCGTTCTTTCTCAGATTGGAGTGCACCTCGTAGTTTGAGAAGTTGAGATGGTTAATCGGTGCAGTCTCTGAGATTTTTGTCTCCGCCAAGAAAAGCACGGCGGGACGATTGGATTGCAGGTAGTGATGAACAGCATCAATGTTGCTGTTGATCCCGCAGATGTTCGAAAAACAAATTTTATCTTCGATGTTGTTCCCTCGAGCCCACCCTCCACCCGGACATTCCGAGAGTGGAGTGAGTTTACATCCGGAGTTTTTAGTGCTCGAGGGATCCATCATCATTAATTTCTTTGTTTTGGTAGATAACCGACTGCATAGCTTAGGTGTGGAAACATGCGGACATTTATAAGACACCCTGGGAAAAGCTAGCGGGTGGTACTACCTCGGTCGACTGGTCCTTGTCTACCACCTTCTTTTTACGTGTTAGTGATGTTAAATAGACCTAAAGTGCCCGTTGGCGGACTTGTACCGCCACCCGGCAATCGGTACTGAGGTATTCCTTAACGCGTGCACAATCACTTGGACGGGAAGAAGTTGTATACTGGATACAACAACTTCCGGAACAAGCATTTGCCACGGCCCTCGCTCAGTAGGGGGGAAAACATGTCAGATAATATGTCTTTTGATTAGATACGAGCATTATGAAAACTGTCAAAAATATTTAATAAGGTTTTGAAAGTTGAAGCATTCTTCATTGTTGTATGGCTTTATTGACAAAGCGTCATTATTTTTTGTACATCGTTGGCGGGAAAAGGTTGAGTCTTGTGGAATTTACGGATGGGTCGATTTAACAGTCAGCCTCCAGCCATTATGGATGCTCTACTTGGTTCTACTGCAGGTATATGAATGAACCCCTACTAATATTATAAATGAGAAAGCGCGGATGTTTGTCACTCAGTCACGCGAAAATGGCTGAAAAGATCTGAATGAAATTTGGTACAGATATAGATTATAGTTTTGAATAATACATAGGGTACCCTTGAGACAGCCCAAACTGCTTAATGGTTTTCGACATTAGGTGTCTAGGGCGGAAGCTCTCAGTCGCTGGTACGACCGAAATGATAAAAGGTGCATTTACTGCATTTCGACATTCATTTTTTAGCGTGATTTATATTTGTTGCTGTTGATGTGCTGTTTTATTTACCTCAGATATAATACTGTGAACAAGTAATTATTGGATTGTACATTACATACAATTTTTAATGCTGCTAGGCGGGTAAGGTACATTTTCCTGTTATCTAGAAAACTGTAATGCTCTGTGGTGCGATATCTTCTTCTCTGTGTATAAATGTGGTTGTCTATATCAGCCTGTAAGCATTAGGCCTGAACTATAATAATGGATACCCGAGGAAGGTTAGAGGCATGATTTTTATACGCGAACTCATCGTCTATTCTGCAATTGGCAAGTACCAACATATCCACGTCCAGCATCAAGACGGCAACAGTGCGACCAGCCATCGTCCCACTCAACCTGTGACCGTCAACCGATAAAGTTGTTTTATTTTGCAACAGCTGTTACCTGCGATTTCGTACGCTTTAAAGTGTGACTAACACAAAATATTGTTTTTAAGTAACGCTATGAACTTCCGATCACGTTTTGTATCTCGGAAGGCAGTAGTAGATTGACAGCCAACTTGCATGCTTAGGAAATTTCGTTACTTTATTAGTGGCGCCACGTACACGTTCCGTGGGTAAAACCTCTTGGCAAAAGCTAGTACTTGTTATATATATTAGCTGAACGTATAGATTTTGTATCAAAAAAATCATGTTTTCGCAGATCTGTCCACAAGATGATAAGATCATTCGAATGCAGCTACTGCGACAAATCATTCTCTTACGCGAACAGTTTGAAAGTGCACTTGATGACCCACGCTTTTGAGACAAGAGATAGTCCCACTCCATATAAGTGCACTTTGTGCGAGAAGGGGTTCTTATACCAAAGCAGTTTGCTTTACCACAAGGAAACTGCACACAACAATGGTAAGTGCTATAGTTCCCATTCAAAAATACTTGAGTGCTTCTATCATACCATACCATTTATTAGTGATAATAATAATAAACGTCTTTATTGAAACTGTACAATTCCATACAAAAAAGATTTGCTAATGGTGGCGAACTTTAGCAACACGCTACTCTTACACTTAACCACCCAATGCAAAAAAAACAAAAGTTGTTAGGTAGCATATATCAAAAATATAAAAAAAACATGTTGAAGAAAATGTTACTTCCGAACTAGAAGCATTGTATAAAACTGCAGCAATGTACATGGAAGAACGCTGAAATGAAGCTGTTGAGTGAAAGGTGTAGTTATCTTATTTCTAAATCTAATATGTCTGTCATGTATATTACACCTAAAGATCAGCTTTTCTTAATTAAGTACATAGGTTTGGACATGAATATTAGTTTATCAATTAATACAAGGTATTGATATTTAACAATATTTTTTGTTTTCATCCAGTTTAATTCAATAAGATTACCAGAAACATGGTCTTAATCCGCAGATGAACCTAGCACAATTATTTTGCACAATTTGAATCCGATTCATAGTAATAACATCAAGACACGGATAACATAAAATATCGCAGCCAGTTGACTGTTAATTTTTTCTCTTTTACGAACAAAAAAATAACAGGCTGGATTTAGTAGCACTGGATTTACATGGTTTACTGATGCATGCGCCATTCCTATCAGCAATATCAAAATAGTGCACCAGTTCAGTATCATCCGAGAAAGACTGGAAGAAACAAAATTAACAAGGGACCCAAAACAGACCACATTATACAGTGAAATTGATTTACTTTCCTGTTCCTGGGTTTCAGTGTGTACGGAAAAGAGAGAAGCGGAGCGCGGCTGTAACTGTTGTCAGGCAACGTGGTGACGACACCTATAAGGCTCTTTCTAACATACGTGTTGCATTGGTATTGCACGCTTCTCTCTCTTCTGTACACGTTGAAGGCCAAGAGCGAGAAAGTAAATGAATTTTACTGTTTACAACAATGCACATGTGAAGTCCTATAAGCTAAACTATAAACTATCGCTTCAAAATTACGAACAATGAATTCTGTTAGAAGGTAAGACACTTTACCCCTACTGAGCGGGGCCGTGGCAAATGCTTGTTCCAGAAGTTGTTGTATCCAGTATACAACTTCTTCTTGTTCAAGTGATTGTACACGCGTTAAGGAATAGCTCAGTAAGAAGGTGGTAGGCAAGGACCAGTCGACCGATGCGGTACCACCCGCTAGCTTGTCCCAGGGTGTTTTATAAATATTCGCAAGTTTCCACACCTAAGCTATGCAGTCGGTTATCTTGAAATACAAAGAAATTAATGATAATGGGTCCCTTGACTACTAAGAACTGCGGACGTAAACTCACTCCACTCTCGGAATGTCCGGGTGGAGGGTGGGCTCGAGGAACAACATCGAAGATAAAATTTGTTTCACGAACGTCTGCGGGGTTAACAGCAACATTGATGCTGTTCACCACCACCTGCAATCCAATCGTTCCGCCATGCTTTTCTTGGGTGAGACAAAAATCTCAGAGTCTGCACCGATTAATCATCTTAGCTTCCCAAATTACGAGGTGCACTCCAATCTGAGAAAGAACGGGGGAGTTGTGGCATTTGTCCGCAGCAGTCTTCCCTGCTTCAGAGATGTTTCTTTGAAATCAGACCGGAAGAACATTCTGTGGCTTCGTCTCAACTCCAAAACATCCCCCAAATTTATTTGCTGCCTTTATTGCTCTCCCTCGGACCAAAACTGGGATGACCTACTTGAATACCTCGCCGTCAAGATCGACTTCTTGAACATCAATCATCCCGCATCAGAGGTAGTTCTTCTCGGTGATTTCAAGGCCCACAATTAGCTTTGGTTGGGCTCAAACAAGACCGATGCAGCAGATCGTCCAGATGAAGCATTCGCTCTTACTCAAAGGCTGAGCCAGCTGGTGACAAGCTCTACTTTTTTCCCCCGCGTTTCGTCACATGCCAGTAGCCTGCTGGATGACGAACCAGTCTCCTTGTTGACATTGCATCCTGATTTTTTGCTCTTCTCACCAATCTCTCTGATCTCCGTGCAGTAACTGTACGAGGTCTTCCACTTTTGGGAGATTCAGACATGGTATTCTCTGTGCATTTTGTGCATTCCTGTAAGAGAGGATAACATGGGAAGTCCCTCTGTAGGCTTATCTGCCTTCTCTTTATATAACTACTATTTGCCCGTACGGTCATTTACAGTGGATCAGATCAGTTCAGCTCGTAACAACGCAACAGTGTATCATTAATTTGCTTGGAAGACTATATGATAAAGATGTGCCGTTCCTGAACGAATCATTCCAAAGGAACAATATCTTGTTAGGAATCGATTCCGATGGTTCCGAAGAAATCGATTCCGGTCGTTTTGACTCCGACGTTGTAATTTCGATTCCGGCGGTTTTGATTCCAATTGCTATGGTTTCGACCTCGACGATTCCAACCGTGTCGGATCGGATTTGGACAAACTGTTTGAATCGAACGATATTGCTCAGATTCGGATATTGCTGCAACTACAATTAGAATAGTCGTACTATACGCTTTTGATTGCAGCGGCTCCAAATTAGAAACAATCTAAATGATAATTTGGTATATAGTAATGAAGTTTGGAGTATAGACTATTGTTAAATTTATTTTTAGTTCCCATGTAATGTTTTCAATATTATATTTTTAATGTAAGTAAGGCAACGGTTCAGAGTTTATAAAATTGCTTTTTTTTTGTTGTTGATATTTTGACATACAATACCACTGTATCTTTTAAAAATGGTAGAAAACAGATTAAGCAGTAATTGCCAAATCAACTTCCTTATGCTATTGTCAACATTGCACTAAACATTTCCTATTACCTAGAAATATAGATTTAGATGATCAGAAGCAAATTCAGGATTGACATTTATGAAAACATTGAAGACTTTTCTATAAATTACGGTAGTCTCGATCTCTGATGGTATCTAAAATATACCATCCAGCATTGAATCTGCATCAGTTTTCTAGATGAGGCAACCTCGCACTACATTTCGTAACAGCACGGCTGGCGGTGTCGTGCCGGTTTCGTTCCGTTGCATTGCATGCATATTACAATCGAAAAGTATCGGCCGGAATCGGGAACGAATCGAAGAAATCGATTCCGATGCAGGATTCAAAAGAATCGATTTAGAGGCAGAGGTCGGAATTGTAAACGAATCGAAGGAATCGATTCCGAGGCTGAAATTCGTGAACGAATCGATTCCTAGACAGAAATTGGAATCGTGAACGAATCGAAGTAATCTATTCCGAGACAGGAATAGGAATCGTGAACGAATCGAAGGAATCTACCCAGAGGCAGGAATAGGAATCGTGATAGAATCGAAGCAATCGATTCCAAGGATGGAATAGTGAACAAATCGAAGGAATCGATTCCGGTGCAGGAATCGACGCCGAGACCGGAATCGTGAAGGAATCGACGCCGAGATCGGAATCGTGAACGAATCGATTTAGAGGCAGGGGTCGGAATCGGAAACGATTTAGCCCAGCTCTTGTTTCTGATAGTAAGATTTTTTTTTTGAAATAACCAATGTTCTCTATTTGCAGGTAGAAAATTTGCATGCGTAAAGTGCGGCAAACGTTTCAATCATAAGCAAAGACTAGTGCGTCACCAAATAGTCCATAGCGACACGCGTCCATTCGCATGTAACGAGTGCAACTCGGCCTTCAAAACTCGAGCTAACTTGAAAAACCACCAGGCTGTCCACAGGGGAGAGAAGAGATTCGTTTGTAAGATTTGCGGACAAAAGTTCTCTTATAAGTGAGTACTTTTCAATAAAGAGTTGCATGAATTTTCCAGAATTATGTGGAACAGATTTTTATACATATTTAAATTTTGTTTTTCATGTTACATAAATAGAAAATACCGTAATGGTACTATATCTAAGGCTGAAATGGGCATGTGTGGTTTCGTTTAAGTAACCGTGATCAACCGCAGACTGCGCTGTTTCGTGCTCGTTAGCAACTCATCAGTGCGTTATATGTCTACGTCTTGGAGACACGTGAATGGGAAGTAATCAATGTTTCAAGTTTTCGAAAGGACCATACCCACTATGTGTGCTTCCGGTTCGTTTGTCTCACAGACTAGACTTGCAGTGCAGTGATGAGTTGCTAATGAGCATGAAACACCGAGGTTGGTCATGGTTACGAAGGCCGAAAGCAAACATGTCCATTCCAGCCCGTGCCTATTTATGCATACATCCATAGAAATCCATTGCTGGTTTGCCTTGTGAATACTTACTATTCCGACTCTTTCACGGGTCGACCGTAATGGTGGTGAAACATCTATCTATGCATAGCGCATAATGTTGAGGAGTTGTGCGCCAGAGAACGTAATGGTCTCTCTGTCGTCTTCATCGTATGAGATGAGGATGAAAATCAGATTGACAAACCATTGTTAGGTGACGATCGTCATATTTTCACCTACCTGTGTACTATGCCTAACGCGTTTGATACAGGGTGGCCAATATATAACTGACTGATTTAAATTGCGCGCCATTTTTGAAACACGCATTTCAGTAGGTGGCGCCGTAGTAATTGTTTAAAGCACTTGTGTCAAATTCATCATGGAGCGCTACACGATCCCACAACGCGTCCGTATTGTTTAAACACGTTTTACTTAAATAATAAGTCGATTGTTGCAACGATTCGGAAGCTACGACAAGATTTCGGTCGAAATAATGTGTTCAGTGTCAACACCATTCGTCACTTGGTGCGGAAATTTGAACAAACAGGTGAAGTTGAAGACTTGCCAAAGTGCCAAGTGTTCGAACTATTCTTATTCCGGAAACTATCGAGAGAGTTCGTGAAAGTGTAGTGGAGCGCTCTAAGACGTCTACCAGACATCGTTCTCAAGAACTGGGTATTCGTCGCACGTCATTATGCACTATTTTTAAAAAGACTTGCATTTGCGGTCATACAAAATTCAGGTAACCCAAGAACTATGTGACTAGTGACCATGAAAGTAGCCGACAAGACAGTCATGCAATATTGCAGCTTAATACCCAAAATAACGATTTTTACTGACAACTCATAATGAGCGATGAAGCCCACTTCTATAAGAACGGATTTGTTAATAAGCAGAATTTTCGTATCTAGGTATTATAGAACCCTCGTGTCATCCATCAACGACCACTTACATCCTCGTCGAGTCACAGTTTGGTGCGATGTTTGGTGTAGATGCGTCATTAGACCTTACTTCTTTGAATACGCTGCAGGTAATTCTCTTATTGTCACTGGCAAGCGCTACCGTGATATGGTGCAAAAACTTCCTGGCTCCTTAAATCCAACAATTTAACCTGCAAAACATGTGGCTCCAGCAGGACGGAGCAACTTGTCACACAGCTAGGGAAACAATGAATCTTTTGCAAACAATATTTCCGGGACGTTAAATTTCTCGATTTGGTGATGTAAACTCGCCACCAAGGTCACCGGATTTAACGGCTTCTGACTTTTTTTATGAGGATTTTTGGAAAATAGGGTTTATGCCAACAAACCAAATACTGTAGAGCAGCTGAAGAACAATATTACGGAAGCGATTGAAAATATTTCTTCCGAAACCTTGCCACGCCTTTTTTTGGTTAATTAATAAATCACAATGATAAATGCTATCTAACGGTTGGTCCAAGCAAAACAGTTGTCTTGAGGCGTGCAAATTTAAGCCCTAGCTCAGTAAAGCGGAGAGTAGGGGCGGGTTAAGAGCGCCAGTGACTTAGAACGGATTAAGCCACAACTCCCCGAGATGTTAGTCGGAACTTGTTTTGCTTGACCACCACACAAAAGGAGAATCTAACAGAGATGACGAAATTTAAGTAACAGTACACACAGAGAGAGCCAAATAATCAAGATATCAAATGGATCACAATATATTGATTAAAAAGAACAAAACACACATGTGCTCCACCACTGGAGTGCGAGAAAGGATATTACAAAAAAAAAACTGTCGCAAAATACAATTAGTTGGCGCTTACCATGGTATACGCTTCACATATATGTTTTACGCCTAAACTACACTTATCTGGGCGGAGGTCTTCTCCCAGTTACGGCTAGGCGCAGCCGAGACGTATCCCAGGTCGAAAAAAAGGAAGCCAGTAGTGGGCACGTCACTGCCTCTGTCCCAAAAATTATGATGGTAACAAAAAAAAAACCCTAGAGAGAGAAAGACTGTTCAAAGATCTACTCTACTCTGTGTCCGAGATAAAACTACTCATTGAAAATAATCGCACTCGAAGCAAAACCATGTACATTTTTTCGTATAAGAAAATTAAAGCAAAGGCAAAAAAAATATAAATATGCACTAAACTAATATACCCTTGTACTAAAAAAGGTTATGGCAGCTCAAAAATCAAAATCATGATCAATGTAATAGAAGGTGCCATGTAGGCATTGCCCCCATATTTGAATACGTAGAATGTCTAATAAAATCAAGAAGGCTCTAAGAATTTCAATAAGCAATAATAATTGTATAAAGATCTATGAAATTGTTAATTAGAATGATATTTTACCTGTTCACATCAGGGTTTTTTCAAGGGGATGGCTTCCAAATTGCAAAAGTGCAACGATGCAACTGACTGGAGGAAAAAGGATAATGATTTTCTTCTGTTTCTATTGATAAAAAGAAAGCAGATATTGAATGAACGTCATCAGGACACGCATTAAGGCACGCGGTCCGAAGGTATATAAAAAAAGAATTTACCGCTGAGGGTCAAAATCCCATAAAAAATGGTAGACGTAGCACCCAAACCAAAATAACTAAACTTAAGTTACACAACAAAAAGAAAAGGGTGCTAGTCCATGAATGGGCGCTTGGGGCCTAATATCCCAGAGTCCCGAAAACGACAAAACGACCCCTGCACCACGACCTCAACGGAAACAGAAAAGCGAATCACACAGAATTCGTAACGTTCTAGAAGAAGGAATCTTGAGTGGCCTTGATGAAGATATGTTTTATAGGAAGACAACTAACGGAGTTAAACTGCAGAGTTTTTTGCTGATCGTCAACATCATACTGAATCGCTGAGGAAGAAAGATATAATACACAATCAATAAACTATTAAATTTGCAAAAAGAAAATCATTGAAAAGGGGTTTGGCCTAGGAATGGGCACTCTATTATCAATGAGGAGAAATTCAAATTACTGATAAGAGATAAATAGAAAAAAAGTAACGTGATTTTGGCACGTGACAACCTACCAAAAAGTGATGGAAAATGTAATTAAGATACATATCGCCCACCCTGTACAACCCATCACGGGTTACCGTAGCTGGTTGGTTAAACTATCTGCCTATTCAAGGTGTTTTAGAAAGGCATGCCAATATGTCTAGGGTACAAAGTACATTGAAAAATAAAAAGGTCCCTATAAAAATGGGCCCAAGATGCTGCCCTACTGAGACACAGGGTCATGAAATTTAAAAAAAATATATATATATACATATACCTATATATATATAAAGGTCCCTATAAAAATGGCCCCAAAGATGCGCCCCTACTGAGATACAGGGTGATGAAATTTAAAGAATATATAATAATATAATAATATTTTTGTTATATACCTTTCTCCGCATGATAATTTTCTCTTTATACCTATATATATATATATATAAAGGTCCCTATAAAATGGCCCCAAAGATGCTCCCCTACTGAGATACAGATGATGAAATTTAAAGAATATATAATATATATATATATATAGATATATATATATATATATATATATAATATATATATATAGTATATAGATATATATATATATATATA